ATAAGATCTCGGACAAGTTCTAACTTGAGGCATTTTCGATGAACGGTTTTTGAGTTATTGACCCTGACTTTGTTAAAACACGTCGAAATTTGTTAAAAATAGTTCGTGAGCAGGATTGAAGCTACAGTTTTCAACCGATTCTAATGAAACTTGGTGTGATCATTATAATTGATAAGATCTCGGACTAGTTCTAAAAAGAGATATTTTTGATGAACATTTTTTGAGTTATTGCCCTTGACTTTGTAAACACGCGTCAAAAGTTGTTTTTTTGCCCTTGATTAGAGCTGTGTGATTTAATTGTTTGTTGTATTTGGGTTATTGATATTGATTTTTAAAAATTTTGTGGAATTATTCAGCATAAATAATTTCTTCAATATGAGAAAATTCGTACTTTAGTCACTAAAGACTGTTTTATCATTTCTTACATCTGCCAGTGGGCGCATGTTACCTTGCATCGCAAGCTATCTTTTATCATTGATTTGTAAGGTGACTGCAATATTGCGATAAATATAATTTAAGATTAATTTGGGAGATAAGTCCCACTTCCCATTATTAAGATATACTATTTTATACATTTCGAAACAACCGAAACAATGGTCACCATAAACCACCTTGATATGATACTATGTGGAGCTTTTACGATAAACAATTTTATTCCGATGGACTAAAGCATCTTTCAAAAGATCAAAGGACTAAGGGCTAACAAAACATATATATATATATTGAATAAAACAAATTTCTCAAACCCATGGTGGAATGTTCGATTAATAGCTGAGATTCCAACATACCACACCCAGTAGTATCTCAATAATATAGTTTAATACATCTGAATATTTATTTGAATCTGAAGGTGGCTAAATAGGTAAGTTTTGATTCGGTAGCCATACACATGGCTGATGTTTCTGATTAAGTTTTCTAAATAATAATACCTGATAGGCCTAAACCTATATATAAAACACCTATAAGTTTTTAAAACATATCAATGAATCTCTGAATATTTATCCTAGATAAAAGTGGCAAAACGCGGTTAAGTTTGGATTTGAAGTTAACAAACATCGCTACAGTCCCGTCGTTAAGGTGGGGGTCCGTTGGTGCTAGACACCAGGCAAAGCCTTCTTCAGTTCAGCAGAGATTGATTAATTTATTGAGATTGAGAAATTCCCACATATACAAAACATAATAGAATCTAAAGAACATAGCCTATTTATATATTTATCTTAGGCTGAAAGTGTCAAAAGGCAGGATTGATTTTGAAAGGAAAGCGCATGATAGGCTACATAGCCTGCAAAAGCGATATAAGGATGAAGTAAAAATACTAGGCCTACTAAAATAAAATGCTAGCCTATTATAGGCCTAGGCCTTCAAATTAATTCTAGTTCTGAAGAACTAAGTTGTTTGAAAAGCAATCTCGTGTGATAATAGTGTGATGCTTAAAGGTTCTAGGCGTGAAGTTAAACTAACACCACGGAGAGTCGCATGCCTTCAGGAAGAAAACACGGGGTAAATTTATGAAAACTGAATACAAATCATACTGTATACAGTTCTATTGTACAAAAACAATGCGCGTTCGATTATTCCAGTTGATTCGTCCATTTTCGGGACGGTATCCGTCTAGATATGTGCGTTCCATGCGTATAGGCCCCTAGTATTTTGCAATAGACATCTATCATATATATAACTCTATGACATACTATAAAAATAATCGAAAGAGTTTATTTTTGAAGGTTTTATAACTATAGCAATAACTATGTAGACTATCATAACCAGTTCATTTTCCCGAAAATAATCTGGCAACACCATGACGTTGACCATGACCTTGTATGAGAAGCCTAGCTACTAGCACGTGTGCAGAATTTGGAGAGTAAAACGGGTTAGCCTATAAAGAACGCACCAACCATTGACATTGTTGTTAGTATATAACAAAAATAATAAATGAATGAAAAACAGGTATGTAATGCAAATCATGATTATAAAGACTGATAGTTTCTTATATTAGGCGCCACGCATTATGTACCTCCTAGCGATTTTAATTATTTATCAACTAAAATACCACATAATGGTGTTCTCAACTCTATGGCATATTTTGAGTATTCTCACCAAATTTTATCTCAATCAGATAATTTTTCTGTTTTGAATCGATTTGTTTGTTCCTAAAAATGTTCGAATGTCGAAAAAATAGTAACTTCTAGTTAAAGGGACATTCTGTTTTTCCCATTTTGTGGGTTAAAATTTGTTTTTGCTCAAATTTGTGAAAACTCTACACCATAATGTGGAGAATTAACGTTTCTGAAACTTTGACTTAAAAAATCCAGCCGTTTATTATATAGTTTGTGATGCTTTTTGGAAACTGTTTGTACGGATTTAAGTAAAATAAACGTCTCATTGTAAAGAAATGGCTGCTACGTATTCTTAAGGTTAATAATTAATAATATTTGACAATATAAGCCAAACAACAAAACGATTATATAGTCACATGTTTGAAGGCCCGTTGTTAGACACGTCACTCACTCAGATGATCACACTCACAGTCGCCGAGAGTCATTGTCAATGTTTGTGAGTTATAATACCAAGAGTTAAAATATTTCTTATCGTCATTTCCGGTAAAGGTATAATACCGAAGTGTAAGCAATTTGGCTCGTGATTGTATACACGATATAGTCGCATGTTTGAAGCTCTGGTTTTGGACATGTGGGCCACTGAGGTGACTCGTGGTCATTAGGAGTCATTGTCTATGTTTGTGGGTTACATTTCCAAAAGATCAAACAATTCTAATCATCAGTTCCGGTAGAGGTATAATACTGAAGTGGGAGCTATTTGATTTATATTCACGATAAAGGCCTACTGTTGGATATATGAGCCACAGAGGTAACTCATAGTCCTTGAGAGTCATAACCAATGTCTGTGGGTAATAAGAGTCACTATCGATGTTTGTGGGTTCCATTTCCAAAAGAAGAAATGATCACTTCCGGTAGAGGTATTGCACTGAAGTGTAAGCAATTTGGCTTATATACATGATATAGTCACATTTTTGAAAGCTCGTTGTTGGACGAGGGACACTGGGGTGTCTCATAGTCCCCAAGAGTCAACGTCGATATCTTGAGATATACATTTCCAAAAAATGAGAAAATTCTGATCATCACTTTCGGTAGGTATAATACTTCAGTGTAAGCAAATTAGTTTATATACACGATATAGTGATATGTTTGAAGGTCGGTTGTTGGACATGTGGGCCACCGGGGTGACTCGTAGTCAAAAGGAGATATTGTCAATGTCTGTGGGTTATGATACCACGAGTTGAAATAAACCTGATCATCATTTTCGGTCGAAGTATTATAATATGGCGCATATACAAGATATAGTCACGTGTTTGAAGGGTTGTTGTTGGACATGTGGTTCATTCAGATGACTCATAATCCCCGAGGGTCATAGTTTATGTCTATGGGCTGCATTACCACAAAATTAAAAGGTTCTGATAATCATTCGGTAAGATGCCGAAATGTGAAGTAGAAAGGTTATATACACAATATATTGGGGTTTTGAAAGCATGTTTCTTGACATAATGGGTCACTGGGATGGCTCAAAGTCCTCGAGTCCTAATTAAACTTAGACCTAACTTCCATTCTCTATGTTTGTGGGTCACATTCTTAATAAATGACACATCAAATCTGATTTGGGTATGATCCTGAAGTGTGAGATGTAAGGGCCTCAGGTGTCGGTTACTTTTAGCAGTATTTATGGAATTTTGAAGAAACGGTGCGAAACGAATATTCTATTGATAAGAAAAATACATATATTTTCACGCAACGACATTACGTCAAGTTTATACGAAACGTTTCAAAAATGGTCTCATGTATGTTTGTTTTGTTACAAATCCTCTCGGACGGTTACTCTTTGCCTTCTTTTTAGTTAACTATTGAAGTTTCCATCATGTGGTTTTATAGTGGATAAAAAATTAAAATCGTAAAAAGTGAAGTAGAGCTTATATATCATAGCCTGGATCTGGTTTACAATAAACATTATTGAAATTGAAGGGGTCGTAAAGAAATTTTCTAAATTTTTCATGTAATGTATATCGGGAACACTGATACTAATGATAGCATCAATATGCATCATTCCAATTTTCAGTTGTCTGTGATTCCCAGACATCTGCCTCTATTCCCTGCTGTTAAATGTTCCAAATCACAGAAGATGCGTTTTTCTAACATAATATCAAATTACCTTTACGATGATTGTAAATTCCCGTAACTTTTATTTTGCTAGTATCACGGTACTCTGTGACATTTGAACTTTTGACTGCGCACGTAGTTTTAAAAGGCCTATGCGAGATTAGTTTCGTTATAAGAAAAACATTGATGGAACCGTAGACGTGACATGAATAATGTAGAGAGAAAATGATGGCATGTTTGAACTAGAAAACATTCATCTTTCCAAATATATCTGGGTTGTGCAGATCCGGATATCTAAATTGGTTTTAAAAACCCGCACCTGCGGAAATGCGGAATGCACCCATTTAACAGGGCCTGGAATAGAGACAGATGTTTCGGTTTAATATAACCTCTAAGACCTTCGCGATTAGTGTCTTCCAAACTCAAAAAATTAAGAAAACCTGTTTACAATCCCCTAAATATAAGGACACACAGTTATAGTAGTCCACCCTGTCCATACCCTACATCGAATCCCAAATAAGGGGTTTGACATAATTGTATGACGAATAGGGTTTTGGTTTGCACTGGTTGAACATAGCAATAAGTAATAATGGTACAAGTGAACATACGTTAGCTAGTAGTTTTAATTTTACCAATGCGAAAATTGTTCAAGAGATTGTAAAAATGATTCAGGCTTTTGTGTTTCCGGTTCTTGCAATTTCACCAAACCTAGACGTTTTATGACGTCAGTGTACGATCCCTTTAGTTAAATGATGTGATTAATTAATTCATTATCATTATTTTACTTTCCTTGTAGACAAGATGTCTTTTAACCAAGATCAAGTGATGGTATTTCATCAATGCTGTCTGTGTGATGAGAGATTTTTACAGAGCTCGGAATTAGAAGATCACTGTCGCATACACAGTAAACCTGTCACAAAAGAAGAAGTTTTGACCGTCAGAGCTAATGATATTGACATGGGGAGCGATTATAAGATTCAATTTGAAGCGTCTGTTAATCTTGGTGAGTCTGAACACGAAGTTACTGAAGTAATGAGCAATTCTGTTAGAGATATGCTTCCATACACAAATATTATTGACAAAAATCCAGGTCCATCTTTTCAGTCAGTGGAACTGAATCAAAACAGCCCCAGTCGTATTATATTGTTTCAATGTGGCGTATGTAAATTATTGTTTACTTCAACATCAGTCCTTCTGCAACATCTACAAACCCATCCAAATAGAGATTTATTACTACATTGTAATGTTTGCAAGAGGATCTTCCAAAACCATTTAGCTTTACAGGATCACATACAAATTCATTTAGAAGCTATGGATAGCGAAACTACAGCAAAGCAAGCTAATGAATTTAGAAATAACCTAAAATGCGAATCCGATCCAGAAACCATGTCTTCAAATGAAAATCAGATAACTCATCAACAAACTCATCAACATCGTTTAACTAAAATTGTGCTAATGTGTCCCTTGTGCTCAGAGATTTTCATTTCAGTAGAAACACAACAAAAACACATCACTGCACACGAAGAACTTGGTGAATGCATTTGTAAGAAATGTGGATTGTTATGTAAAACTATGTTCGAGCTGGTGAAACACAATGAAATCAAACATAGAGAAAAAGCATACGAATGTTCTGTGTGTGGTAAATCGTTTTTAACACCTGTCCATCTTAATAATCATATGAAATACCACGAATCCCGCCAGATACTTTCTTGTGACCAGTGCAACAGATCTTTTACTACTGACATAGGTCTTCGAAATCATCGATTAGTTCACTCAAATAAACAATGTATTTGTGATGTATGTGGTAAATATTACAGTAGTATGGCATCGCTTGCATCACATAAATCAGCCCATAGAGAAAAGTGCTTTAAATGTACGAATTGTGGCAAGCTGTTTAAAGGTTCAAATCAATTATCAAGGCATAAAAGAATTCATACTGGAGAAAAACCCTTTCAATGTGGTGTTTGTTCTCAGTCATTTAACCAAAAATCTTCTCTCGTCACGCATATGAGAATACATACAGGAGAGAAACCATACTCATGTACAGGGTGTGAAAAATCATTTTCACAACTTTCAGCTAAGAGAAGTCATGAGGTAACCCACTTTAAATTCAAACCATTTCAATGTACGATATGTGGTAGGGGATATAAAGCAAAGAAATCGCTCATTAACCATATAGACAAGAAGCATAACAACAATCAAAGTAATGTAGATAACAATGTGCCCAAGATTTGAGAGATAAACCATGTTGCTGTGAGATTATGTATTTGTTATATAAATTCCTGTTGTAGTTAAATGTTTTTAGAGTCATGTGTGCTTGTTGCCTTTCATTACAAACTTATTTTCATACATTGATCTAAATAAAAATCTGAAAACTGTGCAAAGTCACACTCGAAGTGCAATGTCACCCCACTTTACGGTACCATTGTTTTACATCTTATTGGGTGAATAATTGCAAGCAGTATTGATGGTGATCTAAGAACGACATTACCATGATAACAATAAGAGTTCTACTTTTAAAAAGGTATTGAAAACACCCAAAGTAAAAAACAACACAATATAAATGATTGAATTAAAATGTTTTAAAACGATTGGCCGATTGGTAAGTCAACGAAACCAGCACCACAAAAGTTATGGCAAACGTGTAGCTTTCGGTTCTATGGCGTCAAAGGTGGAGTACAAGAACTGGACTGTTAACTTTACAATGCAAACGGAAAGCGTAACTTTCGTTTTGTAAGAATAGCGTGGCTCTGTGACCTTTGAACTGAGTCAGAGCTACCTCATAAAATTGGTTGAACTGTTGGCTGCGCATGTTGTTTTTTTTTTAATGGCCGATGCGAGATCAGTTTCTTTAAAAAAAAAACGTTGATGGGACCAAAGACATGACGTAAATGTGTAGGGAGAAAATGATGGTATGTCTCAACTACAAAAACATTCATCTTTCCACATATATATGGGTTTCGCTGAGGCGAGGTCTCCAAATAAGTTTAAAACACCAGCATCTGCAAAGAAGGACGTATTTTTTCTGTCTCTACACCAGTCGACATCTGTCCAAAAATGCTATCAGAGGCTGGAATAGAGACTTTATTTATTCATTTAGAAATGTTTCAGTCTACTTTTGGTTTTTATAGAAAAAGAAAGTGAATTATTCGACTATTTTTTCACTATTTGAAGGGATTATGTGATTTTTGTTCTAAAGACTATTTACCTGGACATATCCAATACTAAAATCAATCCCCGAATAACGAACAATGGCCTTTAATCAAAACGTGTATTGAATACTTTAGATTCCAGAGTCTAACAAAGGATTATATTCTAGAAAAAATAACTTTATTTCAAGATATGAATGTATATACAAAACAAAAAAAATTAAGATCCTAGCTTACAGTTATTATTATATAATATTAGTGAAGTAACAAACAGAAAGTAAGAGAATATAGAAAGAATCCAGCTTTTACAAAATTCTTGAAATGGCAGCATTATTTGTTTGAGAAATATGAGTAATTTAAATATAATTATAAGCATTTTGCATATCCTACTCTGCCATTAAAACCCAAAGTGGACACAATTGAATGATAAGAAATACTTTAAAGATGGGTTCCCTTATTTTTATTTATGAAAATGAAAATGCTTATAGAATGCTTATATGAATAGAAAGTAAAGGTGTTCCAATGACTGGGAAAAACACCAGTTTGTCTCACATGTCCATAATTAATTCATAATTAGCTAATTTAGAAGAGAATAACAAGCTGAATTCCGTTGGGTGACCGATCAAGAAAAGTCTAGAAGTATTTTTTTGTTTATCCAGACTGTGCATACATGAACATTTATGATTGGTAAAACTCTTATTTATATGCAATAAGAACATAATGACATGGTTAAGAATACATGATAATTCATTAAAAATACCAATTAATCAAATAGTTTGTTTAATTTGATTAAAAAAAATAAGGAAACCCATCTTTAGTAAATAACCTGCAAAATTTTTCATGGTTGTATCATGTTAATTGTTATCAATTTGTGTCTATTTATTTACTCCTAATACGATTTACAATTTCTTACATTACACTGTCTTCCCTTAGTGACAAACATTTTCACATCAATTAAATTTCAAATCAATATTACTTATAGGCTGGTAGAGCTGTCTTTCATACTAAAAAACAGTGTGTTTCAGATACATAGACAATTTTAAAACAAAACCTGATTATATGGCTCAATAACTGGACCTCAAAAGTGGTTGCCTGCAATTAATCAAACAATGAAATAATAAAAAATTTAATAATGAACATTTTAAGTACAGTAATATCAAATAGGCACTTGCAATAAAGAACATTTTAAGTATAGTTAATATATATTGCATAATATAACATAATACATGTTTTTAAATATAAAGTACACAATATTTCACTCTGTGTGCATCATGAAATTCAAATCCAATCTTTAAAAATATAAATAGAAAGTAATCTCATATTATGATAATGTGATCAACAAATGGCACAAAATACCTGATGTAAATATACTGATTATATAAAACCCCAAACCATTCACATGTATAGATCATAACTTATAATAGATAGTTTAAAGGGAATGGACTTTAAAAAACTTAACTTTTCATTTCTAAAAGAAAGAACTGACTCCAAATTCTTGAGAGATAAAGCAATAATAAGTCATCATGTCTCTTCCTACTATATCTATAGCATTACTCCCTGCCATTGGCCCTTCCCAAAACCTCTTCTTTTCATTAAGAAGATAGAACCAATCTAACATTGTTGGCTGTCCATTCCCTTTTATGAATTCTTTTTTTTTCACATTTCATAAAGGAAATAATATAAATTGAGATTATTATTAGGTAAAGTTACATATTGCTGTTTGAAGGTCAACCTTGTTACATGTCAGTTACCATCAATGAACATAGGCATTGGAGATAAAAGGTTGCTTGGGGTGGAAAATGTTGAGCAAAACATAGCTAGTATACATTTATTCAGAGCCTCATAGCAAAAATAATTTTTTTCATACACTAAGCCCTAATAATTTCAAGCTCCTATGCCTATATCATTTGTATATTAAACTTATGTTTAAACTCCTCAGAGGTTTAAGAAAATTGTTTGTATAATCAACATAAGATGAAGAAAGTAAAGTTTAAAAGAATATAATATATGTAAGAAGGTATATAAAAGTCTCTGAGTAAATGCTTAAGGATTTAATCACAGTCGTAATATATAAACAGTTTTGAGAGAATCTCAAGAACACATTAATAATATAGCTTCATAATGCCCAAAATTATTTAGAATTTGGCAAGAATAGTGAGCACAGTGAGCAGAAAAAATATAATTTTCCTGAACAAATATAAAAATGAATAAATTTCAAAAATATAAACATTAAATGACAGTTAAGCATTGAAAGCATTATAACTAATTAAAATTAACAAGTAATTCAACTACAGATACTTACAAACAGTATTCATGTAAATATTAATTTCAACTTTACTGAATAATGTTGTTTAGAAAAACCACAAATTTCAGCATTTTTACATAAAAGTAGTTGTGACAATTTGTTTTTCCCAATGTGACCTTCATAAAATTCGAACTAGACAAATTCATTTGTATCAACATAATATACCACTGTAAATTATTTGGATAAACCAAATTTACTACTGAATTTATTTGTATTGTGTATGTATTCAATATTTTATAATAAAAATCTACAGTGTTTGAGTGGCAAGAAAAAGTTGGAATGTTTACTACCATCTCTATAAGCTATTGTAACTGGAATGCTTGAACAACTCTCATGTTGAACTATAAATTATAATTATATCAGAATTAAATATAATTTATGCAAAAAATATAACATATATAAAAAGATAGCACAGCATCATAACAAGCTGCATGAATTATGTGAATTATTCTACAGTGATAAATAAAGAGCAAGATTAGTCTGTATTTGAAAGGCATACTCATATTGACTCAGAGAAATATATTTAAACAATCATCATTTAAAGATAACCTGATAAATAGATTTTAATGTTTCAAACACATTACAAAAAGTTATAAATCTGGACATATCATTTATCAATTTTATGAATAGAAAAATAAATCTTACCATAAAAAGGAACGATACAGGATTTAGTAAGCAGTACAAAATGATATAGAAAAGAAAAGAAGCCAGTAACTAATTAGCCATTTCTAATCTCAAATGTTCACAAATTTGAATTACTTGTGTCTTAATATCTAATGATTAAACAATCCTAAATTTAATAAGGAGCACTTGATTAGCACAGCAAATGTTTAACAAAATCTAACTGATGGTTTTAACCCTGAATTGTTAAGGCAAGGAAAAGAAAAGCTGCCAGATTATCCAGTATTATAGTTAGGAAGCAGACGTCTTCCACCAAGGGTCGGTATAAGGCATGAAAGGGAGGTAATTTTAAGTTTGTCTATACCTTCTCTGCCAGCGTGATATTTGATCTAATATTTGTCCTTCCAGCATTCTTGTTAAACAAATACCAATTAACTACAATAAATTTAATAAGTGAGATTTGCATGTATTTTACAACACAAAATATCATGTATATTGAACCTATCATATAGTAAATGAAATGTAATTATGAAAGAAAAAAAGTTTATAATGACTGATATTCTGTCATGATTATCTAAAAGCATATCATAATCCATAAATAAAATACCCATTGTCAATCAAGCAAACAAATAATATGTTAAATATTCAAGAAACACTAAAAATCTTGCAGATACTCTTAGATTGGTACCGTTAATGAAACCTATAGAAAATGGCTCTTACCTGAGGTACAGTAAAAGCAATAACAACTCCTCCAACTATAGGTAAATTCTGTTCTGCCATATTTAATATAGCATCAATACACCCAGTTGTATAAATACGACTGTTTCGGATCTGTGACTAAAAATTCAATAAAAACAGTTTCAATGTTGTGCAATAATCATCAAAACTGCAATTACATTTTCAGATTATTATCTTAAAAGATGGATTTTGTTTCTTATAATATCCATAATACAGGTCATGTATCCTCAAAATGATCTTAGCGCTAACATATCCCAGAAACAGTGTTAGAAGTTATGACCCTAGGACATCCTAATGATAAGATTCTTTCAAACATATACGCGGCCAGGGCTTTATGTTCTTAAACAAGAATAAGAAATGAGTCCATATGCTAAAAACAATTGCAGGCTATAGAATGTTCCATTATTGCATAGAATTATCAGACATTTTAAGATTAAGTATAACTTACATCTGGCTGTAAAGTATCAGCCCCACAAAATATATTTGGAACACCTTCCTGTAAGATAATAATAATAATATATCATTTAAACACACATCTTTCTGAGTTATCATTGAAATGTTATAATAGGAAAGGAATTACATATTTTAGATCATGATATATCATACTTTCTAGCAATGATATCTTTATCACTTATCAGAATAAAAAATCTAGTCAGCAATTTGTCTACAAACATTTATAGCCTGTTCACATTTACTTCCATGGCCTTACTACTGATACAGATCTAATGGGTTTATGAAATGACACACAAAGTTAGTCCCCTAAAGAATTCTAGGTTTTCACACAAATTGATATCTGGGAGAATGATGCAGGGACCTACTTGTTACATTCATTTTAAAAGTTAATGTAGACAAAACACAGCAGAGTCTAGTGTCAAGGGTGAGTGGTTTTAGCCATTACATTCTGAGCTTGATTTCACATGACTTATTTATCAGTTGGCTTAAAGTTTATATTTTCTTTTAAATACAGTTACTTGCTAATACTTTTACATCTAGCCAACTGTCAGAATACTAGGATATACTAAAATAGGAAATCAATCAAATATTGAGATGTTTGTCATTTCCTTGATCATGTCAACCGTATATAAATAAACTTGACTGACCCTGATTGTGTCTTGTTTACGACAACAAGAATAAGGTGTGGCACATTTCAATCTACTTGGATTGCCTTCTGTACAGTTAAAATACATATTATCATTCCAATCTCTATATCCATCTGATGTTACACCACAACAATAGATCTGTAATTTATATTACTTAAAAATCAATAAATCCAAATAAAAATATAACTAATGCTTAGTTTGGCTCAATTGCATTCAGATCAAAAAAAGTTTCCTGTATAAAATACACATAATAAAGCCATGTAATTTGACAATTTAGAGTTTAAAAAAATATCAAAAAATTTATTTCGTATCTTTCTCATCTTAACATCCAATTTCTCTATATAACTTACATTTTCTTGAATCCAATCTATAAAACTTTTAGCATCAGGATCATCCTCATATCTTGGAATGAAATTTTCTTGAAAGACTTCGGTTACAAAGCTTTTTGCCTTATCACGAAATACAAAAGCCAGAACACCTAGTGTAACTTCACCAATAAATATTAAAATCATTATTACATAAAACTGAAAAAAAAATCATTAGATTTATCATTATCTGTACACAATCAGTAATCATATAAATCATAATTATCATATCTATCATAGCTAGAGGTCAATATCAAAATCTAAAAGGCTGAAGTCATAATCATAATGTGAGACAACTGATAGAAGGGTTGATTTGATCTTAATTTTCAAAACCATCTAAATTAGTACACACAAAGGAAGATATAATGATTAAAGATCCTGATAGCTGTAAATGTGTCTTTTTCTTACTAAGACAACTAATCAATAATTTTTGATAAGCTCACTCAATACTAATATGAAAGTTTTGGTATTGGTACTTACAAATTTCAGAAGACATGTGTTTTCACGTAATGCACCAATACATCCAGAAGAGCCCAATATAAAGATAACGATACCTAACACCATAAAACCAATGGAGATATCAAATATTACATCATAAATTGTTCGTACTTCCACATGGTAAAATTTATTTTTTTCTACAAAAGCCCAGATACCTAAACTGAGCATTATGCCTCCTGCTACCTGTAACATTAATCATGGTGCATTAAAAATTACAGTCTCCTTAGAAATTCTAAAATAATAATAACTGGGGCTGCAATGATGAATCTATGAGCTTCTCACCAATTGAATTTTTGAGTATAAGAGTATACTTTGTTCACATCAAAATTTGTAAAAAACATTTCTGATTTCAAAAATTAATAATTTTCTTTCACAATTCTCACTTCTAAATGTTCTCATGTGCCAAAATTGTTATAATTTTAAAAAAATTCGACTATGTTTCTCTTTCCTAATCTTATAAATGAATCACGCTTATAATTATAAAAAATCACATTGTGTTGGATGAGTATTTTTTAGTGATTAGGGTAGTTGAAAAAAAAAAACAGTTACTATTGACAAGCAAAACAAATAGTCACTATTCAACAGAAAGCACTGGCACAAGGTTAAAGCTATGTTTATATGTGTTGTCATGTTAATATAAAATGAATTAAAACTAGAATATAATAACAGTACTGATGCAGGGCGGGTTACGACATCCAGGTACATACGAAGATGGTCTATTGCAATTACATTGATGTAAATACTTTTCTGCATCTCTAAATGCAAATATGCGGAAGTGCGTGGAATTTAAAGTATATTGACTAGGAATAAAAGAATGTTTGTCAATTAATAAAGACCAAGTTTCATGAAATCCGGATAAGAAATAAGAAAGTTGGTAATGCGCATGCGCTCAACAAAAATTCAATATTTCCATCAAATTTAGAATTGAATTATACAAATACATACCAAGTTTGGTGAAATTCGAATAAAATATAAGAAAGTCGGTAATGCGCATGCGCACAACAAAAATTATAAATTTCCATCAAATTTAGAATTGGATTATACACATAAATGCTCAAAACTCCCATTATAATAATTACCGTGGCATTACATTTTAATGTTTTTTAAAATCAACTGAAAAATTACCAGTGTATTCCAGTGTAAGTTTGGTGAAAATCGGATAATAAATAAGAAAGTTGGCAATGCGCATGCGCACTACTCAAATTTGATAATTCCATCAAATTTAGAATTTGATTATACACATACATACCAAGTTTGATGAAAATCGGATAATAAATAAGAAAGTTGGCAATGCGCATGCGCACTACTCAAATCTGATAATTCCATCAAATTTAGAATTTGATTATACACATACATACCAAGTTTGATGAAAATCGGATAATGAATAAGAAAGTTGGCAATGCGCATGTGCACTACACAAATTCGAAAATTCCATCAAATTTAGAATTTGATTATACACATACATACCAAGTTTCATGAAAATCGGATAAGAAATGAGAAAGTTGGCAATGCGCATGCGCACTTCGCAAATTCGAAAATTCCATCAAATTTAGAATTTGATTATACACATACATACCATGTTTGATGAAAATCGGATAGTAAATAAGAAAGTTGGCAATGCGCATGCGCACTACGCAAATTCGATAATTCCATCAAATTTAGAATTTGATTATACACATACATACCAAGTTTGATTAAAATCGGATAGTAAATAAGAAAGTTGGCAATGCGCATGAGCACTACGCAAATTCGATATATCCATCAAATTTACAATTGGATTATACAAATACATACCAAGTTTGGTGAAATTTGGATAAAAAATAAGAAAGTTGGGAAATTAAGTGGGGGTATGCCTTTAATGTGCTTCCGTAAGCTTAACTTACAGTATAACACGGTTCATTCCATCCTAGAACCTATTTATATACCTTGACTGGACACAAAACATTTTAAAGAAATATAAAAGGGAGGGTGTCTTTAAAATTACTTAAACTTTGATTTATATTGGGGTTGACAGCCAGGTTAATCTTATTAGCCGATTTATCTAATAATAGTCCCATGTTAAGTGAATGGGTTTTCGAATTTGCATGTAAGGCATGCATGTTATATATCACTGGAAAGCTCATGATCTCAGCATTTTGAATCCGACAGAATTATTTCTCTACCTCTAATAGGGCACATGTTAGGACACTTTAAAGATGCAGACTCAACTTTCAGTGACACCCATAAAACCGAAACTACGTGTCGGACATAAAAAAAATTAACATCATGTAAAAGCTGAAGTCAATAGTAATTATTAATGTAAATATCAACGTCATCCGAGGCCAAGTTCCTTTGGTAGAAGCGTTCAAAGTTTGAAGGAAATTGCAACATTTCCTTTAATGTGACTTTGACACGATCAAATGCCATATAAATTGAATCCATTTATAAAGTGCATTAATTATCTGAAAGTAGTATGTCGCTAAATCAATTAGGGTTTGAGATACAGCACTGCCCAAATGCCAAATTGACCATATTTAGACCCCTATAAAATCAGAATTTGTTGTTTGACCCCAAAGATCAAAAGGTCATGAGAAGGTCAAGGACAGCCTTTATCACCATGGTCAATATAAAGGTCATCAAAGATCAAGGTCATGAGTTATAAGCCTTCAAACTTTGGAAAAAAGCATCAGGTTGTACAAAAAAGGCAAAACCGAAAATCAAAATTATGCTTCCTAAGGATTGTAGATGGACATTACACGTAAGCTGGGATTAGCCACAAGTTACGAAACGCCACAAAGTCCATTTTCCCGAACGTGTTGCTGTTTCCGAGAAAAAAGGTCTGCGCTGGACGAAAAAAAAAAAAAAAAAAAAAAATCAATACGAAAACAAAGCAGGGCGTTTGCTTCCGAACGCCCTGCAATCAAAGAAGAAAATCATATTTAGTTGTCATGTATATGATTGTACATGTATGACATACTCTATGTTATGAATTTATTATCTATATTATTATGCGAGTGTGTGGTTTGATATAATTTTCATTATATTATCCGTATGTATCATATAACATTTATGACTTGGAAATTGTGTATATGATAAATTGCTTCTACAAAGTATCACTTTAGTTTAGTTTGACCACTTTTTTCCAATCAAAGGATTTTGGAAGAGAGGTTCTAACAGGTCAAAACTGGTCGATTAAAACTGCTCTGGACAAAACTTGTCAAATCTGCACTAAAATATCCATACTAATATAAACTGTAATTACTTTAACTTAAATTGACTGTTGAGAGCTTTTAGTATAATAAAAAATAAATGAAGATTTATCATTTTAGTATAATGAAAAATCAGGTCAACTTCAATTTGTTTTACAACACTATGTGCCTTTTGTGGTTATGTATAAACTTTTATAATAACAACTGTTTTTTTGTTGTTTGTTTTGTATTTTGTCATACAAAAACTTTTAATGGTCATATTTCAAATATCCTCTCTGTATATTGCTAGCATGGATATATTTGAAAAATGTTTTTACTATAGCTCAAAACTCCCATTATAATAATTACCGTGGCATTACATTTTAATGATGTTTTTCAAAATCAACTGAAAAATTACCAGTGTATTCCACATTCTGAATAATATATGGCCCAAACTGATTGAAAAAGATTTTTTTACCTGCACCAGGTTATTCAACAGTTTCAACAATTAAATACCGGTATACAAGACTCTCCTCCAGGATTTGACCATAAAAAAATCAGATGCTGATCTTAAACTACTTGGTAGATCACTAAAGAAATATCCTAATAAAGGTAACTACCTTCCATCTTACTATGCAATGCTTATCATAAGTATCTTCATAATCACTTCCATGGACATTGTAGGTAGTACAAACTTACAATCCTTATGTAGTACAAACTAACTAAGCATGAGTTATTATAGTTATATTTCAATCAAGATGTTACTTTTATTTGAGCAAACTCAAATACTTGAGAGTTGAGTGACACTGACACAAGTCAAAATCGTAAACCTATACCTACACTAATCTGTATAGCATCTATTCTTAGACTTCTTATAAAACTACTCTCTTATTTACTCTCTGACTACATTGAGCTTTGATTTTTTAATTGAATTTTTCTCTCATTTCATAAATATTCAAAATAAAATTTTCAACTGTATGCCATTATTCTATTCTTAGAATATAAATACAAGGTACAGTGATTTTACATTTCAAGCATACATACTTCCTCCAAGAAAATTCATTTAAAAATTATCTATTTTTTAATCATACTGAAAATTCCCATCTAATCAAGTTTATAAATAACTTTTTAACTGGTTAACATATTCATTCCATAGTCATAGACAATCTAACACTGTCAAATGTATTTTAATGTAGATAGTTCACTTCATGCTGAAATGAGTACCACAATTCATTTCAGTTAACATTATTATTTTAGCCTATAAATATAAGTCTTACAATATTACTTACCCAGAAAATGAAGTTGAAGAAGAACACAAGCCATTTTACAACTGGGCTAACATACGTTTCTTCTGAACTCAAACAAGACATAGTTGGTTTTATTATTACAGTTATTCATCCATTGATTGAGAAATTAGTACTAAATAAAAGATTATAATAGAAGGTGTAACATCTCTTGACTTATTAAGTGCTCACTTTTGTTTGTTGATGATGATATCTGATCATCCAGACGCGACCACAGATCTCGCCAGACTGATCTCGCAGCTTGTTGCTGCATTTATCGACGGTGGTCTACTTTTTCAAACCTCCAAACTGTCAAAAATGGAGATCAGTCATACGTCGTGATTTAATTTAGTTTCTGATAACATTACGAATATTTAGAAGTTGATGACATTGAGGTGAATCTGCACATAAAATAAATCAAACCACAAGCAATTCCTAATGATATCATTTAAAGGGATTTGATTAAAGTATAGGTCTATGTAAAATAAAGACACCGAATATTCTCTCCAATTGATTGAAGGGAAGCAACTCTCAATTTCAAATATCCAGTACGTCAGAGGAAGAGGAACTGCAACTATCTCAATGTAGAAAGTCTTGTCTGAGAATCTTTATTTTAACTTTGTAGAAAAAGAGTTTCATTTGATGGCAGAAGTCACTATATAGTACTTGTTACTGTAAGATAACTACAAATATTTTATACTATCAGACTATAAATGATACCAGCTGTTGTAGTAGGCTATGCTATGCCAATATCAGCATACGGCATAGGTCGTCCGCCATCATACAATCGAATACCAGTTAAAACGGTAACCGTCAAAACGGTAACAAATTTGAATAGTCAAAACGGTAACAGATCTGCCAAAACAAGAAATTTGGTTAAAACGGCAAAATATCTGTCAAAACGATAACACAATAATATGAATTATTATGATGATCATTAAGCTCATACACTACAGTGTATATACTGGCCACTGGTCCCGCTTGATTTCTTTCTTAGGCTAGATCCGGACACTCCGAAAAATCTGTATAATCCGACATCTACTCATCTTAATCACGTATCGTCAATTAGATATTTATTTTATTGATAATCCGGGTCAAATCACTTGAAAACAAAAGATCGCTGAACTGATTAATCACCGAAATTGACATTCAAGCTAACAATTTTTGTCCTGGGAAGCGTGCCCATATCTCTGGATATAAAACAGCAAATTATTGAAAATTATGAAAAAGTGCATTAATATTTAGCTTTGAAATTTACGTTGAACAAAAATAAGCAGCATTTTAAAACGGAAAGAAGAATTTTAAAAAAAGTTTGCCGACAGTACAGTCAAGAAACCTAATTTCGTGCTAACCTATTTTTCATGCATTTCCGGAAATGATTAATAATTTACATGTAAGACCTCGCGTGACCTCCGCATTTGCTTGTTTTGATAAACATGTGTTTACAATATCAGCTAGTAGAATGAATCCAGTAGTTTCAAGCAAGGAAAAATGTATTAATGTATACTTTGACAAATACAACTAGCAGATTCCGTGTCAGCAGAAAATTTCTATGGGCCATATTCTTATGTTCTTTCAGTGACTTTTAGCAATTAATCACGCTACGTATCTTCTTTTGTCAGTCACTATTTTTTTTTAAAATCATGGTTCTTTGAAGGAATTGTCACTAGTTATAATGAATTGATATTAAAGATAAATACTAAGAGAAGTTAATTATACCACTGGGTATGCATATAACGTGTTTTTCTCAACTTAATAATAGATCAAACATTGTACACGAAAATAGGTGACGCATTCTGCCGCCGTTCCCGAGTTGGTTGCTCATTAAATATGGGTCAAAGTGAAGGATTCATAAAGAAAATCGAAACCAACCAATTTTAATTATTTTGTAGGATATCTGAGGAAACATCTAAGACATAAAAAAAAAAAATTCGTTTTTTTAACTTTGACGAAATTCGGTGTTGAATCCTTAAATGCACGAAAATAGATTACACCACTTTATTAATTCCAATAAAAAACATATGTACAGTTCTCAAAATATGAACAATTAAAAAATGACTGTAATTCTTTATTAATTGGAACTCCTTTACGCATAACCAATAAACCACAAAGGGTTCAAAATGCTGCAGCAAGACTTATCTCCAGCCAAGAGCATTACGATCGCATTACACCAATTTTATTAGACCTCCACTGGCTACCTATTTTTTATAGAATTCAGTTTAAGATTCTGCTTCGTGAGCGTGATTTGTCAGTACTCTACTGAATAATTGCTTTGATAATATTTAAAATGTTTTAATAACTTGGATTGAAAGTGAGAATTAGTAGTGAGTTGAGTTGTTTTCAAGTATGAATTAAGTAAGGGAATTTGCTTCGGACTTATTGACACTGTTTTATTTTTACCATTGCCTTTATTTTTTCAGGCTTTTCCATTTGAATATTTACAAAATTTGTTTTCCTGAATTTGAGATATAACAACAATGGTGAAGCATTCAACATTTTCAGATGTATTTAATTTTACATGGAATCAAGTAGCTATAGGATTATGGCAACGTTATCCTAATGTTTACAGGTATGCAATATGAAAAAGATCAAATTTTGAGTTTTATTTCATCCTTTTTTTATCTATAAAATTTTATGTATTGTAATATATTTCTTGATGCACATTGGAGGCTGGACATTTTACTTCAATGAGTTTATTCTTCATGGTTTCCCTGCAGTACTTATTATGTGTTATATCAATTTATAATGACTTTGATTGACAGAATATGCCTACTAGTCAGTCAAGAAAAGCAGCATTCATTATAAGAAGAGCTATGTTGGATTGGATCAAAAAATTTATGTCAAAGTTCATTAGAAGTTCAGTAATCACAGATAATGTAAATATATTTGTTATTAATAGAAATGATGTTTAAAACAACTAACTGAACTGTTTTGTCTTATTCAGTAAACATGTATTGTCAGAAGATGTGATATCCAGAAAAATAATAAATGGTAAACTTCATACAAAACGTTTATTTACTAAAACAAATCCTATGCCTAAAGCTGGTGAAAAGTTTATAACGGCCAGAAATGTTTATATAATAGAAGAGTCAATTGTGGATCCTAAGGATAAAACGTTTGTTACTTATACTAGAAATGTGGGAATGCAGAAATATGTGGTAAAGTATTATTTTACATTACAGGAAATTTGAGAATGACAAAATTTAAAGGGTCATTCCGCTTTTTATACAAAAAAATTTCATTATCAAAACCTGGTAAATTAAACATGAAAATATTTCTCTAGTATGCTATTCAGATCTATCTATATCAACGCTAAAAATGAAGTGTTAACAATTGCTCTTTAACACTAGAGTAGGCACAATTTTTGACTGATTTTGACGAAACTTGATATGAGTGATTGTATCACCCAAGGATAAACCATATAAAAAATCAGAAAAATCGAACTATATTTAGTATGAGTTATTGCCTTTGTTCTTGAAAACGAGCTAAATTTTAAGCTTGTAAACACTTCAGAAGGCACAATTCTTGACGGATATTGATGTTTTGATGAAACTTGGTGTGAGTGTTATCACCCTAGGATGAACCCTATTGATAATCAAAAAAATCAAAAAATAATTAGTATTTAATTTCAGTTCGTCAATTTTAAAAGGCATGATTTTTGCCGGGTAAATTATTCAGTATCACCCCAAAAAGTTTAAATGAAGTGTATAACTGAAGGTTGAATAGTTCATACTGGTAATTGTTACTGTACTGCCAAACATTTTTATTCAAAATCAAAGCTGCCAGTGGGTGTATATTACCTTACCTGGTAAGCTATCTTTAGTTATAACTGTCAGATATGTTATGGAACACACTTCTCTAGATTTTGGTGTATAGTTTTTACAAATTTGAGCATAAAACATTTTTCGACCAACAAGGGAATAGCCTTCCCATTAGATCAGATGTTGATAAAAGTAGAATTGCAAGAACCAGATTCTGATTAAATTGGAATGGTGCAAATCGGATCTATCAGCATCTCATATACATATGGTATATTTTAGAAAACCTCAAAAATCCTTTTCTAAAAAAGTGGTGTCACTGATAGCATCAATGTGCACCATTTTAATTCCCATCAGGCTTCTGTGGTATTCATAAAAATATTAGAAAACCTCTATAAAATTCTTTAACATTTTTTTTAATTTGTTGTATATGGTTATCCTCTAACTATTGTCTATAAAGTAAATCATTTTGTTTTTCAGACAATAGAAGAGAAATGTTTTTATCAACCAGATATTACAGATAAATCACTTACAGTTTGTAACAGATGGGCCTTTATTTCATCATCATTCTTTGGACTAGGCCGTGTTATTCAAACTTTCTGTACTCAGAGATTTAAACAAAATGTTAAGAAATCAATGAAGGGACTAAATGAAACCATGGACAAATTGTTTAACCCAGAAGCAAACCAACATAATGAATGTAGAAAGGAAAAATTCAAGGAGAAAGCGAAAGCTGCAGTTGAAAAGGCTAAGATTAAAACATCCAAACAGATGTGCTAATTTTTTGATGGAATATGACATTGTACATGTATGCAAGCCTGGATAGTGGATATAATGTGCCAGTCATTTACTTGAAACCTCTCAACTTTGTATGGAACTTCTCCTCATATGCATACCTTCAATCAATATGAAAGTGCTCATTTGTAAAATAAGGGGTGTTTTTTGTAGTCTGTTAAATTATATCCAGCCTAGATAGTATGACACATTTACTTTATATTTTAATATGATCTGCTGTAAGAGAATGTTTGACAATCTAATGGATTAGTTGTTATATTAGAACTGGTTTTAGGTGGTATAATTATGATATTTTTATATAAAAATTATAACCCAGTTACTCATGATTTTATGTTTTTTTCCAAAATACAACATGATCATAGTAAAAGCTTTTTATACGCATTGTATTGTGGTCATTTATTGTAATCGCCCTGTCGGTTCGTTCATTCACATTTGGCTTGTGCTCACTCTACAGGCTACAATTCTTTATGGATTCTTTTGATTTTTATTTTTGTAAGTCAATGTCATTATTAAGATGATCCCTATCGATTTTTGTGACGATCTTATAATTTTTAGCAAAATATCTTGTCCAACTTTTTCCAGTGTTTTCACTCTATTAGCTTTTTATGCAACTTGTGTATACTTTACGGGCAAAAATTCTTTATGGATTCTTTTGATCTTAATTATGTAGGTCAATGACATTATTAAGATAATGACCAACATGTCGTTTCCAACTTCATACTTGGCAAGTGCTAAGTCTACAGACTACAACCTATGATCGGTATTTGCAATGAAAGCTGCTGGTGGGCTTATGTCACCTTGCTTCGAAAATGTGTTTTGTCTGGTGTGTTGAAGAGAGAGTTAATGCTGCCTTCTTGAAAGCTGTGAAATATTAATGTAATGAACTTGTTATTCTGCGTACCGAGGTCTCATTGAACAAACCCTTTCCAAGATTGAAAGTTAAATTCTCTTTAAGCTATATTTAATCGCAAATCTGGTGTTTCTGAGAGTATCTCTATCTTCATAATAGCACATGTACTTTGACACTTTGTTCTGAGTGGTATTAATTGATGTTTTGTTTCAATAAGGTTATGTGGAATGGTGTCCGTTGGAGTAATCAATACCTATCACAACTATGAAAGAGAAAACCAATTTGTGTTTGCCTTTATACATTATGTTTAACCAATATATTTAATTATTATGATTTGATAAAGACTGATAATGATAAAAGTCTGGAATAAAAATCACACAATATTCAATCTTCCACTCTATTATAGTCTTGGTTGTCAAGGGAATCAGTCAGATCTTCAGAGTTATTGTACTCAGTATCTAAATACGATTTTCTGTATACATATCCACCAATAGGATTATCATATAAAAGTCTGACGTTATTCAGAATGGCTACCTCTTCAGGTAAGTTAAAAATTTTGCCTGTAATACTATGTGCTATCTTTCCTGTATATAAAAGTATGTCATTTGTATAAAGGCATTCACAGTTCAAAAGCGTCATCAAATAAGCATGTAATTTGAATTACATAAATATTCGAATATGCCGAAATTTGTAGATCTTCTAAAGTGAAAAAAGAAAGTAGACTACACTGTATAGATAGACCTAGAAATATGGTGTATCATTTTTGTAGAGGTCTAAAGAAAGGCATTTAAATCTAATGTATCGATGCAGCCCTCAAATATATTTTAAATATTAGTAACGCACATACAATATAGGAATTAGGTTCTAATAACTCAAGGGCGGCGATCATGGGTGGACTTGGAGGCATGCCCCCCACCCCCCTTCCCACCCCCCTTTTCTCTGACTAGGGGTGGGGTGGGGGATCATTTATATTAATCTCTGGCATTATCTGGGTATTTATTTATTGCACATTGGAGGTAGCTCCAAGAGAGGTTAAGAGATAATAGTAAGCCTCTTTCATGTTACCCAAATAGTCTCAACGATTGTTACATTATTCAGAGTCAGAGAAGAATAACTATAATGTTTATTTCCTTTTAATTTTCGTTTCAAAACACAGTTCCCCAGTCCTACAAACTGACCCAAAACTATATCTGCGATACCCCTCCTCCGCACTCCTTCGACTAGTACCCCCTAAAGATGTGTGAAAACCACCGCACTATTTCTATTGCTACCATTAAATCCACGAACTATGATACTTACTACATCAGGTAATATTTATTATAGTTTTCACCGGTAGTATTGTAGTAGTGAGAATTTACACTAAAACTATGAAAAAGAAACTTAAAAATTTTTAATTATAACTGGTTACAATATTCACAAATACATCGGTGTTGTCCGTCTGTATAGGTGCTCTGGTCAATCCAAGATGCCCCTGATATCATATTCCGTAATAGTCTTGTTGTGGAAGCGCGTGCTTGCACTCGTGAGATTTTACTCAATTGTTCAATTCCAGAAAAGGTTCCGTTAGCTTCACTTGATGACTTTCCTTTGGGTGGCTGTACTGATGAAAGACGAATTGTGCAAAAATACACTGAAACTACCTTTTCGCAAGAAAATCCACCAGATACCAGAAGACAAGAAGGTCAAGAGACCAATGAAGACGAGCTGATAGAACTAACTATATCTGGAAGACAAGTATATTTAAGAAAATATCGACTTATAGCTTGCACACTTAAATATACCTTATTCCTTTTTAACTATATCTTTTTGGTAAGTTTATAGTCGTTTTTATGCGCCTACATGGAAATGTGGACGTATATTGCCATCGCCCCTGTTCGTCCGTCCTTCCGTCCCGATTCTTTTAGAAACAATAAATTTATTTTAATATGTCTTTTATACCCCTGAGGCCACTTTGCGATTGAGTCTGTCAACAATTAAGGCAGTTGTTTTAAGAGAGTTCAAATAGTTTTAAAAACTTTTCTTGACTGACTGACTGAAGTATAACAGTTCTTTGACGCGTCTGCCGCGTTTTCATTTTTTTGACGCGTCTGACGTGTGTACTGACGTATTGACGTGTGACGAAGACCAGTTCTTTGACTTGTTTACTGACGTACTGATGTTTTTACCTACTGAGGTGTGTTTAAAACTCGACCTACACGTTTTAAGGCATGTTTACACTTTTTGGAACACCTGAGGCCACTTTGCGATTGAGTCTGTCAAAAACGTGGTGTTTTAAGAGAGTTCACATAGTTTGATTAACTTTTCTTTACTGACGGACTGACTTGTGAGGAATAACAGTTCTTTTACGCGTCTGACGTGTTTTCATTTCTTTGACGCGTCTGACCTGTTTTCATTTCTTTGACGCGTCTGACGTGTGTACTGACGTATTTACGTGTGACGAAGACCAGTTCTTTGATTTGTTTACTGACGGAAGTTTTGATGTTCCGACCGTGTGATGAAATTTCGGCCCAAACGTATTGACGCACACTTAACCTTTCTAGAATACCTGATGCCACACAGATCTTGAGTTTTCGAAAAAAGCAGCCCTTTGAGAAAGTTCCTATTGTTCATGCGTTTTTTACAAAAACTCTGTAAAGAACGAACAATATTGGCAATTCCTACTGTTTTGACGTGTTTACCGACGTGTTTATTTTCATAACAGAATTTTCTAAATGATCTTTCGTTTTTCGTTGAAATATATTGAAATTCTGTATTTTGTAAGGTATCATTGTCGTGTCCATTTTCAAAATATCGTTTTTATTTCGTTTTGTGACTAAAAATAATATGATTCTTGATTTTATAAGGTAGCAGTGACGTGTTTGACGTGTTGACTGACGTACTGACGTGTGACGGAGAAACAATTGGATTTTGTTTGAATTTGATGATACTTTGATACAAAATTATTTAGGTATTGCCTTGACTTATAAAAATTCATTTTCAAGTCACTATAAGACTTTATCATTTCTGACAACTGCATGATGGTGGGCGTATGTTACCTTGTACAGCATCAAGTTATCTTTTGTTATCACATAAATTTATATGCCTTACTCTAAGTTAAAGGGTATAAATCTGGCCAAACTTGACCCAAAAACTAGATTCTTATTATCGGAGTGAGACGCACTTGGGGCGTAGAAATAAGTCCTTTTAAATGGTCATGTTCCTGACAACAACACTTGTGTTCTGCTGCATCCATTAACAACTTCTACACTGACACTTTTAAAAATAAGAATACATGTTCGGCCTGAATTGATATACTACAGGCCCCATGGTTATATTCATACACAACAGGAACATAATAAACAATAAATATAAACGATAGCTTGCCAGGCAAGGTAACATACGCTAACAATGAACTGTGATAGTAAAGTCTTTGGTGACTTAATAATGATCTTATAAAGATTGAAATAATCTTAAAATTATTTAAAGTCAAGGCCAAAACAGTTACATCAGATTATCACCGAAATTCAAACATCGAGGTACACACAAAGGCATTTACTCTGAAACCGTTCATCCGATTAGTACCAATTTCGAACTTCAACATAGGCCCTATACATGCAATAGGGCCTACCAGGTTTCATTTCAGTTAAAACCTGTATCCTTTATCGTGCCTACAAGCCAAATTTGACCCGTTTATATTAAGTCAAGGGCAACTCATCAATATATACATGCTTACCAAATTCCATCAAGATCAAATAAAAACTGTAATCTCTATCATGCCTACAAGCCAAATTTGACCCGTTTATATTAAGTCAAGGGCAATAACTCTGAAACCGTACATCTGATTATTACCATTTTCGAACTTGATCGAGATCTCATCAATTTTCAAGTATACCAAGTTTCATCAAGATCAAATAAAAACTGTAGTCTCTATCGAATATACAAGCCAAAATTTGACGCGTTTTTATTAAGTCAAGGGCAATAATTCAGACACCGTTCATCCGTTCATCCGATTATTACCATTTTCGAACTTGACCCAGATCTCATCAATACATGCATACCAAGTTTCATCAAGATCAAATAAAAACTGTAGTCTTTATCGTGCATACAAGAAATGTGGACGGACGGACAGGGGCGACGACAATATATGGCCACATTTCCATGTGGGCTAATGAAAAGGGCCTTCCTATTCTTAAAATGCAGACATGAGTTGATATTGGCATTCATTTAAAAAAAATACATGTAGGCCAAATCGAATTAGATCTACTCTCTACAGCCGGTGTCTTGAATCCTCCGACAACGGCAGGCTTCAATTAAAAGTTGGAATGTTTTTATTACGTCTGACGAAACGAAACAATAAATAAATATTGTTCACTGTGGCGAGTTTGAACGTGAATTAAAGTAAGCGCGGCGTGTTAGTTTTTCAGAAATTTACTTGTGAGTTGGCGACTGCATTTTTTCGACTTTCTGTTGTTAAATTCTCGAATTTTAAGTATTAACATTGCAATAAAAGTGGAACATCTAGATTGTCTGCCTCTATACTAGCCTAAAATTGTCAGAGAAAGCTCTAGTGGCCAGCGTAGAGGCAGAAAATCTAAATGCTCCACTTTTATTGCAATGTTTCAATACTTAAAATTCGAGGAAATTTAAGCTTAGGTCATATAGGCTATGCAACCTTCAGCCTACAGATCTAACACTAGACCTATTTACCTTTTAACAACAGAAAGTCGAAAATGAAGTCGCCGACATTATCTCTATACTCACAAGTAAAATTTGAACAAAAATAACATGGCGCGCTTACTTTATTTCACGGTCCAACAGTCTAAGGATTTCAAAAATGGACTTTGCACTTCCTCTTTAAAAATTTAAGACATGAAAATGTGTAGCCTAGATTTCTTTTTAAAAAGGTCGTGTAATGGTAAATAATGAGTAAATTGATGAGGTATTAATTAATTTGATGGTTTTGAAATACAAATGCTACGAAGATCCTTTTCTAGAATATCGGTATTAAAATATTCGTATTTTAGTCACTATCATTCATGGCAGTGGACGTATGTTATCTTTATATCGGTTACAATCGGATGAACGGTTTCGGAGTTATTGCCTTTATAATGAAACGTCGATCGTAATGGAACTGGTTTCTCAGTTATCACCGTTGTGTGTACGTCGATGAGACATTGTTAATGTTTGAATTTGATGATAATTTTTTTTCATTCATCTTATAATCAGTGCACATTTTTGGGGGATATTGTTCATTTCAATTAAATTATTTAGAAATTCAAAAAAAAATCAAATGAAATTAAATCAATAGTAACACATATTCCTTCAAATAGTGAGTTTGGAGAGTATTCCTTGCAATTTTTTTGAATGATTTTGACATAAGTTATTGAAAATGTAACCACCCAAGAAAGTATGAGATATTGTCCTTGTAATTGAAAACGGTTTAAAAAATTTTTAGCTAGTATAGACATTCTAGAAGGCACAATTCCTGAGGAATGTTCAGGAAACCTGGTGTGAGTGTTAGAATGAACCCTATCAAAAATCAAAAAAATATATTTAATGAGTTACTGCCCTTCCCTTGTTCATGAAAACATGTTCAGTTTTTAACTTGTAAATGCAAAAGCACAATTCTCGACTGATTTTGACTTGGTGAAATTGTTTAATATCACCCATGGGTGAACCCTGTTGAAATTATGAAAAATTAGAATTACTTTACATGAGTTATTGACCTCAAACTCGAAGAAATTTGTTATCCTCATAACTATGTAGCATGAAGTCAAACTATTATGGTCTTAACTTCGACACTCCTGAAATGGAAAGAGTTAAATGTTTTTCTCCACCCCAAATAAAATATGTCAGATTTTATCACGTTACAATGTCGTTATGCTCTAAATCAATCTGATTTGAATAGAAGAATGCAAAAATAAATATCGCCTTCTCCTTAACCTATGCTATAAATAAATACATCTGCTGTATTCATATAATTATAAAACTTATATAAGTATGTGAGTATTGAGCTTGAATTTGTCATTTAGCTGAAATAGGTAAGAGAATTCAGGTAAATAGTAAGAGTTGTCTTTTGTAAAGCCTGTGAATCTACAGACTGGAGGAGTATTAACACGCAGAAGACAATTTTCAGCCAAAATTTGTGACTTCTTTGAGTTGAAATTTCTAAGAGAGAAATGTGTTTCTTTTTAAAAGAAAAGATTATATTTTTGTCAACGCAAAGACATTCCAAGACTAGCAGTACTATTACTAAAGCTGATATTCCAATTCCCTTGAAAAGTATCGACCAAAAATAATTCAACAATAGTCTTTTTACTAAAATTCCAGATAATGGGTATACTAATTACTGCATGTGGATCATGGATATTGAATGAGAGAACTAAATTAGCTAGAGAAATATCAGAATTTATGTTAAATCCAGCTGTAATAATCTCTGTATTTGGTATTATTCTGGTGTTTATTACTTTATTTGGCTGTATTGGTACTATCCGTGAAAATATACTTCTAATCAAAACTGTAAGTATAAATGAAAAGTAAATAACTAAAAACCAAAAAATCAAAATAGGTGTTGCCAATCATGTCAGGATACGTATTACGATTAAAGGGCTACGATACTATCACAAGAAGCCGTATCCAATTACACGTGATATGTGTTAATACATCTATTTCTAGTCATTTTTCAGCACAAGCAAATAATTCAGGCCTACAGACGTTATTTCCGATCATAATAGTGTGAATTTTAATGGGACACTATCATCGGATTATTAAGGGATTCTGTTGTATAGTTATGAAACTGGGTAGATCGACATAAAAAGATTTTAAAATCTAAATTTTATGGTTATTCTATATCTCTTTAGATTTAGGCTATAACACAAAGAGATATTTAACGTTCAATTAATATACTATTATGTTAACAATAGCTTCATTACAGTTTAACAGTTGTATTGTTTATTGAGTTAATATTATCAGTTATTGTGGTGGTATTTTATCAAACACCTAAATTAAGGCACTACCTACATTCTGCACCAGAGGAAGTTTTTAAGAATGCTATCAAACTCTATCATGACGATGAACATCTTGAGGAATGGTTAGATTTAATACAGATGGAGGTACATATTTATTTTTTATTATGAAGTCAAATCCATTTAACAAGCATAATTACATGCACTATGTGTTGAAAACCATTAGAAAAATATAAAAGAAATTCGTTCAATTTTTGATATACATTTCCAAACTCGACTACAGCGAATGTCATTGTATCCCGAATACGAGTTTTGAAATGTGACGAATATGGGTCATGCTTTATGAGCGATTGTAATCATGGGTATTCATGCAGTATGTTAATTAAAGAAAATATGTGACTTATACATCATACTGTAGACAATATGTGACTTATATACATCATACTTTTTATATCACAATTATGAATGGTGGTTTGCAGTTGAAATGTTGCGGATTTAGTTTAGATAATAATGGATATAAAGATTGGAAATTAAATATGTATCATAACTGTACAGAAAGTAATCCAAGTAATTTAAAGTGTAGTGCACCAATGTCGTGCTGTATTATAGAAAAGGTAATAATTATGTTACAGTAAATCTCTCTACAAGTGCAGAGATTTTTCAACAAATTGCTTTTGAGTTAATGACCTTGAAATAACGCGTGAAAATTTGTTTGTGAAAACAATAGAGACTACAGTATTTATCTGAAATATATGAAATTTAGTGTGATCATTAATAGTGATGAGATCGTGGACGAGTTCGAATTTGAAGATTTTTTGATGAATTTTTTTTGAGTTATTGTCCTTTACCTAGGACAAACACGTCAAAATGTGTTTGTCAGCACATAACGACCACAGTTTTCATCTGATTTTATGAAATTTGGTTAGATGATTTATGTCATAGACCTCGAAGAAGCTACAATTTGACAATTTTTTTATGAACAGTGAAACACATTTGAATTTGTTCAAGAGCACAAAAAACTAAAGTTTTGATGTTTGAGTTATTGCCCTTGACTTATAAAATATCTAAATAAATTTAAGACATGAGAGCTGTGTGATATAAGAATTTGGATTATTGTTATTGATTTTTTTTTTTAAATTATGGTGGACAAACTCAGCATAAATAATTGACAGTAAATATATATACGATATATCAATGAATTCAAAACTATTAATGTTGCATGAAGATCTTTATGATGAGAAAATTCTTAATTTTGTCAATAAGAATTTTATTATTTCTGCAAGTTGGCAGGTGTCTTTGTAATGCGAGTTGGTGAATAATAACGTGTAAAAAAATCCATTCTAATTTTAAAAATATTAAACTGAACTAAATTGAAGGCCAAAAGAAACTTTACAACAACACGCTTAGTAAAAAAAAAAAACACAATATAAAGGATTAGATTGAAATTTTTTAATAAGCAGATTGATAAGTCAACGAAAGATCACATGTTCAATGCACGAGGCCACAATCTCGATGGTTCAACCTATATAGGGGAACAAGCACTAAGTAATCAAAGGTTCATTGTGATCAAGATCACACGCCACAAGGGAACAGCCTATAATATGTGGATTTGCACATCGGACGCTCGCAGTCAGCGGTTGCCAGCGTTCGTCAGCGCAAAGGTTTATACTATTTTTTTTTGTTAAAATTCATCAATTTGGTAAAGTTTCTTTTGACCTTCAGTTTATATTCCATGAACTAAGTCAATATCCTAATCTATTTTAGGGAGATTTTATTAATAGAATGTGTGGATTTGGTGTTCTGGATAAACCGGTAAGTCATTTGAGGTTTTATCAATTTATTTGATTTAAAAAATATTATATGATATATTGGAAGCTGTCAGCTGGTAAAATAATAGTACCAAGTGTCACTTTCCACGAACAGTAATCGATAGTAAGTCCAAACTAGAGCAAAAGTAAGACGTTTCATTTCATTCACTTGCCATTGTATTAAGCTGCGATTACCATTCCACGTAAGCGTTCGAATTTGACGACTTATCGATGAACAGTTTTTGAGTTATTGCCCTTGACTTAGTATGACCATGTCAAAGTTTGAGCGCAATGGATGGCATCTAATTTTTTTTTATGAAATTTGATGTGATCATTATATTGATGAGAATTTAGTGAAGTTCGAATTCGATGATTTTTCGATGAAGGGTTATTGTATAAATTGAATAAAATTAATGTTAATATAAATAACTACAGTGTATATTATTAAAGATGGGTTTCCTTAATTTTTAGTGTTAAATTAAGCAAACTCTTTGATTAATTGGTGTTTCGAATGAATTATCATATATTCTTAATCATATCAATATGTTTTTATTGAAATTAATTAAGAGTTTTAACCAATCATAAATGTACATGTATGTACAGTCTGGATAAGCAAAAAAAAAGACTTTTTGGCCTTTCTTAATCGGTCACTCATTGAAATTCTGCTGGTAATTATCTTCTAATTTAGCTCATTATGAATTAATTATGGACATCTGTGAGACAAACTGGTATTTTTCCAAGTCATTAGAACACCTCTTCTTTCTATTCATATAAGTATTAGTATTGTCATTTTCATAAATGAAAATAAGGGAACCCATCTTTAAAACTTAAAGGGACAGATGCGCCAATCATGCCTTTGTCTCAGAAACGGGATATTTTCCCTAGGCCAATCAGTAATAGTGTTTGAAAAAAGACGAGTTGTCTTTTCCTGAGAAACTGCCATTTATAGAAAAGACATCTACAAATATGAAAAGAAATTCCTAGTTTAAGATATTATTGAAGGAATTATGCGATTTTCGTGCATACTTAGTACTACAGAGGACTATTGCATATATTCAAGACTCAAATCCCCCCCACATCCACCCCACCCCACCCCAATGTAGTATTAAACAGATTATATACGGAAATGAAATATAATACTCTCTGTTTTCAGCGTTCTGATGATATGAAGAGAATATTATACAAGAAGTTACTTTTACTATATTAAAACACAACATTCTCAGATTTCAGCGTTCTAAATTAATTTTTAAATAAAGCCAAGTATACAAGAGGTGTCTTGTATTAAAACAAAAACACTCTCTGTTTCAGCGTTTCGTATAGTAATAAACAGAATATATAAAACATATTGTATTAAAATTCAAAGGGACAGATGCATCAGTCATGCCTTAGTCTCAGAAACGGGATTTTTTTCGTAGGCCAATCAGTAATAGAGTTTGAAAAAAGACGAGTTGTCTTTTCTTGAGAAACTGCCATTTATAGAAAAGACATCTACAAATATGAAAAGAAATTCCTAGTTTAAGATATTATTGAAGGAATTGTGCGATTTTCGTGCATACTTTCGAGGACTATTGCATATATTCAAGACTCAATCCACCCCACCCCCACCCCAATGTCGCATCTGTCCCTTGAGCACTCTCTGTTTCAGCGTTACGAAGTAATAATGTAATAAATAGAATAATACACGAGCTTGTATTAAAGCTTAAAACTCTTTGTTTTCAGCGTTCTGAAGTAATGAACAGGATATATACAGAAGGTTGTATGAAACAAGTGAATAGTTTTATCCAAAGTTGTAATACTGCTATAGCCTTATCTTCTATAGGAATTATAATATCACAGGTAAAAGTTATTACTATGTGAAAGATTTATACAATATATAGAAATTATTCTACAGAACTATAGTTATATAATATAGGCTATAATATATACATATAACGTCAGTAGGCCTACATATTTCCCAACGGTAGTCAAACAAAATCAGAACACTTGTAAGTTTAACATTTTGAATGGACGATGAGGATTGGTGTGAATTCAGACGAAAAACACAATCATGTTTTCTTTTTCCGATATTTCTTCGAATGTTTTAAAATTTTCATATCATTTTAGACATTTTAACAATTATTATGTCAAAGGAGACATATCTCTGGTACTATCAAGTTGCAGAATAGTAGTACTGTGAGCCTACATTTTTACATTAGAACCCAGTCCCCAATAAACGTGCATTGACTACGAATCCGGTCCACTTTTCATATAAAAAAATAAAAGTTATTGTACCAATTTCAGATACATCAACATAACCATCATTATTGGAAAAACTTACGTTAGAAAAATCTGTCACTTGCAGACCATTTTCTGCTTCATTTTGATAAATTCATGCCCATTCACTTGCTTTCAGTGATGTTCGTTCAGTTGAATTTGGTTGCAGAACGCGTTTTCGAATGAAACTGAAGGGCCTCTTATCACTTCTTAAATTTTAGTCAAGAGAGACAACATAAATTGCTTGAGCTTCATTTCTAATCCTCCAATTCCTTTAAGCATACAGTTCAATTAAAGATATATTAGACCAAGCTTTCGTTCCGTTTTTCCGAGTGTAACAATGGGCGATAATTATGTTCGTCCAATCAGTAGCAAATTCTATGGCATCATATTCAAATAAAAAAAGCTTACCAGCCAAGGTAATGAACGCCCACTGGCAGCTTTGATTTTAATAAAAAATGTTTGTCGGAACGGTAACAATCACCAGTATGAAATATTCAACCTTCAATCATACACTTCTTTTTAACTTTTTGGAGTAATCCTGAATACTTATTACCATGTTTTGTCTTTGTCCAGGATGAATCGAACCTTTAAGTGTTTTATTGAATGCGTTTTCAAGATACTAAATTTTGTTAGATTTTTCTGATTTTTAAAAGTGTTCATTCTTGGGTGATTTAAACAACTCATACCAATTTCCGTAAAACTGAATTTGTCGCAGACCACCAAATGTTCTACCGAGAAAAGTTCCGCTATAGCACTCTGCAACATATTTAGCTTTAAGAAAATTGACGAGTGGCAGAGCGCTAGCAGAACTTTCACAGAAGACCTCCGATTAAATCTCATTAAGTATATTTTAGGCATTGGCTAAAAAATCCTGAGAATTTATGAACCTATCCAAGATTTTTAAACATAGGCTACAAATCAGTATAATTTGAAGGGCAAACGGGAAGAGTGGAACTGAGAAGACACCTGCTAATAACCACCTCAATCTAAACTTGAAGGTTAAGTTTTAGGTGAACCAAATCAGACGCTGGATTTTATTATATGGAATAACTTAAATTGAGCTCTATCAATCAGTTATTAAATCCAATAATTCGACGACTTTTTCCTTTTCAATAACTTATAACACATCAAAATAGAACATATAAAATCTCTTATTCATTTTTTTTATTAATATTTTAGCATTTTTTAATAATGGTTTTCTGTAGCAGAGTAATATGAAACAGATGCGTGACATAGAACAATAATAGACAACAAATGATGTGATAATGAACAACAAAGAAAATTATATACAATCTCTTCATAGTTAACAATTAGTTATTATAACCACCACTTAACATCCTATTTAGTTTACATCAATATAAGCAAATCTTTAGCACTTTAATGTCACCCCATTAATAGTTTACTGTTTACTTTTCATAAATTATGTTTGGTATGGTTCAACTTGTTACATGTAATTAAGCTACATGAGTATGCAGTAGATCTTTAAAGTTTGTATATACTTATACTTTCATTAAGATAGAAGTGATGGAAAATAGATATCAATTTTACCTCTTTTAACTATTGCAATGTGAATTTCTTTATTGCACAAGACTAGGACCCATTTTTATAATCATAATTTACCATTATGCCTCCTTAATCATTATTATTTATAATAAATAAATTTGAACATTCTTTACTTACTATTTTTATGTAAGGTGGTGAAATTTTAATTGGTCAAAACAACCCTTTCATTACAAGAAGAGATGACTTGCCAATCATTAGCTTTGCAAATAATGTCACAATTACAAAACAAATCTTAAAATTGGCTAGGAGAAAGCATATTGATTCTTCAGTTTGAAAAATAATGTTGAAGAGATATCATGTTAGAACATGTATAATTATAGATTATAAAACTATACAAACAGAATGTAAATTAGAAGAAAATATTAGCGGCAACTGTACAATTAGCATAGTTCAGAATATCTATATTCATGATGTTCATATTCTTAGTCAATGAATCCAGCAGTCACATTTAGAAAATGATTAAAACTAATTCATAATGAAATAAAACAACACCACAATAAAAATTTAAGTAGATGCCAAAACCTTTAAGCAAAAACTCAGGTCATAAATATAATCAAAGAAAAAATGCACCAAAATTATAATAAGATCTGTTACAAAGTAAATAAAAAAAGGTTCAGCTAAAGCATTTGATGCAAAATTTGATATAGTAATGAAATGTTGGTGGGTTTTGTTTGATCTTGAGAGTTATGATTGGCTTAAGTGAAAGGGCCATTCTGCTTTTTCAATCGGTTTGGATATACTGCATGCCAACATGTACATGAAGATGCCCTTTACCTTTCGTGAAAGGTTTAACTAAAAATATCCAAACAAAAAACTCAGCCATTTTGATATTTGATTTTTATACTGGATTTTATGTCGCCAGATCAACGTATAGAAACTATACAATACTATCATATAATAAGGCCAGTTTACAAGATGAAATTAAAGCAGAATGCCCCTTAAAGAGATAAGTTAACTAAAATGAAATCGTAACAGGAGCTCTTACTGACCCTATGCTAATGTAAGACTAGTTGCAATATCAAAACACACAATAAGTTTGTATATACTTTAAATAAGACTGATGTAACATTATCTTATTTTTCTACTACCTAACTCTTTGTTTTATTTTCAAATGGTCTTTTTCCAATTTGAGTTTCACATATATTTCTTTTCTTTTTTTTCAAAAAAAGCTGTAAATTTTGCTTATGATGATATCAGCATCATGTGAAACAGTTATTTGAATAATGTTAACAGCAATTGTAAGTAAGTAATGGTCTATCACCAAATCAAAGTTTCTCTAATAGACTGTAGCACAATTAATTTGGAATGTGACAGGTTATTGAATAGTATAGGAAACATGTAGATTTATACGAAAAAAAATTCGAATTCAAATGAAAGTATATTTTATCAGCTTAAAGAGTTCAAGGCCTGAAAACATAATTTATTTGCCTCTTAATAACGTTTATATAATTTTTTTCTGACTGAGAAGGCCATCAGAACCATAACCACCTTGAATTGATTGAATTTGATGATCTTATCTGCTTACTATTTTTTACAGCCTTTTTGAATATAATCGCTCTCTGTGGCCAACTTTTTGTGATAAGATAATAAGAGAAATTATAGTATGAAACTTGATTCTTAGCCACATAACTTAACCACACACATAACAAACTGAAAACAATCACTTTCCTGTAATCACTGTTGACACTGAAATTTCCATATTGTTTTTAACAATGACATCCATGTACACAAAAACACATTTAACAGATAATAGCACTTTTCAGTTTATAGTCACACTTTCCACTTGTATTTTTTTGGTTTTGTTCCTTTCTCCCAATTCCCCAACACAGAATAGCACCATCTATATACCAGGTACCCCATTCCATAAAACAAATGGCACAGTTAATTGTTTTACCTTCCCCTTCCCTGACCTAACACAGCAACAGCACTTTGTTCTATGAAGTCATATAAAAATGAAAGATGACTTTATATGTGATGTTAAATGATAAAACCCAATACTATCCATAAGTCATCATATCTAGAGAATTGGAAGAGGTTGAAGGACTATGATTTTGGGCTTTTAATGAATCATTTACATCTCTTCTAAAAACTGACAGGTTTTGAGTAAATCTGAAATATGAAGAAGAACATATATATCAAGAATAACGATCACTTTTAAAATGCAAGTTAGCAGTATGCTTTGAGAACAGACTCCATATACCAACCAACTTTAACTTAACGTTCACTTGGTTGGCAAAAAAGGGCTCCACACCATATTACTGAGAGTATTAGAAGCATAAATAATATAAATATTCACTGACCTATCTCTATTTTTAGTCAGTAAGGATCTTTCTATACCATCCATGAGATTCTCAAAACATTGAGCCATTGTTTGATGTTTTTCTGCTGGCTGACTCGAGATAATATTACTCCGAACTTTGTTAAAATGCTGAAATGATAAATATTTCAATATTGTGAATACCTGTTCCTGGCTCACAAAAATTACACACACCGATAACATTTGTATTTTTCAGAATATATCAAATTAATTGTAGCATATTCCCACCTTGAGATTTCCATTGAGCTCAAAGACATTTTGGTCTAAATTTGGTCTTAATCTTATCAAATACAAAATAAGAGCAAATGTGTGTTTAACAGTTTAAATATGAGCAATTTTAAATGCTGATAACTAATTGACCTCCGAGACCTCTCTATAACTAAATAAATAAAGAAAGAATAAATTAGTCTTTAATACAACTCCTATTGTAGATCACAAAATAAGGTAAATATACAGAAACAAATATTAGTGAATTACCTACCTCTTCATTTAATAATATGAGACCTAGTAATGGTCTAGACATAGACCACTGATTTCTACAATCTTCAAACATTATAATATTTAAAACTGTTGTTAACATCTACAATATAACATCATAAAATTTATCATAGGTTCAATACATCGTATCTCTTAAATGGCAAGCCTTTTGTAGCAAAAAGACCACAGGTCCTCCTGAAAATTGCACAGATTGCCCTCAGAGCTAATTTCTGGCATACTTCAAATCAGCCAGAGTTGTTGTTTATGATTATCACAAACCACTAGGCCATCAGTAATCATTTCTACACCCTAAGGTATAATTATATAACAGAGCTCCTTATTTTCTCAACAGAATAATTAAAGCCTTATTGTCTAGCCAGTCAAATAAAATCAAACTTACCTGCTGTAATATATCAGGATTTAATTCTAATATTCTGAGGAATGCATCACTATCATTGATACCTGAACTATTTGATTTTTTCTTCTTTGTTGTTAATCGACGGAATAAATAGGTTATAATATAATCTAATGTTGCACAACAACCAGTACAAATGACAGTATCTGTAATATTATGGTTATAATGAATCTAATGCCAGTATCTAGGTTATAATTTAATCTATTGGGAATGACAGTATCTAGTTTATTACTGTATCTAATGACAATATCTACTTATTACTGAATCGAATAGCAGTATCTAGGTTATAATGTAATGACAGAATTTAGGTTATAGTTTAACCTAATGACAATGACAATATCTAGAATGAACAGGATATAATGAAATATACTGACAATGAAGGTTGACAACACTAGTTTATGAGTGAATCTAATGACAGTGTAAAGCTTAATACTGAATCTAATGACAGTATCTATGTCATAATTTAACCTGATGACAATGATAGTATCAATGATAGTATCTAGGACAAACAGTATATATAAAATTCAATCTAATGAAAAGGATTATAATTCATTAAAAAATGACTGATTCACAATTATTGTGAAAACAATCCACTGTTGTATTTATACAAAATATTGTGTGTTAAGGAAGGTATAGACTCTAAATCATTTTCATGTTTGCAATTCACAGTATCGGGTAATTGGGGTAAGGGTATATGGTAAATTATTAAAAATGTTACAAAGTTGATATCATTATTCAGTCTGTCCAACATTGTCAATTGATCAATTATCAGTACCGTAATTGATAGTTCATAGTTTAAGAATGTTTTACTGCATGATAAGATGTACATACCTAGTGCTGTTAGTCCCTCTGATATAGTAGATAATATATAGAGGAATACTTGAGGCTCTAAATTACTAATAAATGACATATGATCCTGAGCTAATCTTTCAATTAAACTATAATAATTCTGGCTAAGTTTGGGATAATCCTAAAAATAGATGAAATTCAACTTAAGTCTATTATGAAACAAGAATAAATCCAAATGTCAAGATATATTGTAAAAAAAAAAAGATACTTTTCATCAAGGATATTCATAGTTTTAGAGTAATTTTATCATGTTAACATTAGAAATTCAGTGTAAGATACTATATTCAAAAACAGCTGTGAATATATTTTTAGACTTTAGTTCAATAGTATAAATTCAATAATATAAGTTTTATGATAATTTTAAACAGAAGGAAATTGTAGATATCATACATATTTAGCAATAAATCAATTGTTTTGATACTTCTATATATTGCTCTACAATTGATTTATTGAGCACTATTTTAACAGTGAAAATATCATTGAAAAACAATAAATAAATAAATATATATATATTACTTACCAGTAAATCATTCTGTGATATAGATAACAATAATTTAACAAACATATTTAATGAATTATCTAAAGCATCATCACCATAGAGACGAAACACACCAAAATTTAAATAATTACCACATAAAGCATGTTTTAACATTGAAAAACACATAGAGATGCCTTTTAATGTAGAAAAAAAATTAAGGAAAAACCAAGAATAAAATTAGTACGCCCACTACCAGCTGTCAGAAATGATAACAAAATACTTGGTGGCTTAATAATGAATATCCAAGTAATCTTAAAATCATCTATAAGTCAAGGCAAAAACCTGAAACAGTTCATCAAGTTATCATCAAATTCAAACAATGTTTTATCGCTGTACACACAAGGACAACAACTCTGAAACTGTTCATCCAATTATTACCAAAGTCAAGGGCAATAACTCAAACGATTCATCCGATAATTCCAATTTCGAAATGGACTGAGATCCCATCAATATATACATGCATATCAAGTTTCATCAAGATCAGATAAAACCTGTAGTCTTAATCGTGCCTACAAGCTAAATTTGACACGTTTTACTAAGTCAAGGGCAATAACTTTGAAACTGTTCATCTAAGTATTACCAATTTCGAACTAGACCCAGGTCTCATGAACATATACATGCATATCAAGTTTCATCAAGATTGTTTAAAAACTGTAGCCTCTATCACGCCTACAAGAAGTGTGGATGGCCGGACGGACGGACAGGCGGCGTATAAAATGTTAAAAAGGATATCTTAAAGGGTAAATTTGATCTTTTTGAACATTTTCACTCATTGCAAGAGACCGGGAACCTGAAATTAAATACAGAATAATTGATCAAGTATTATATTATTACACAGTACAACAATCTTCTTCAAATTCAACAATTCCTGTATATATAGGATAATAGATAACACAGAGAATATTCAAACTAGTGCAAGCAATTAGTGTTGAAACGGTTAATCACTTAACCGATTTCGGGTAGTATTTCACGGATAACCGGGTCTGATTTGAGATAATCGGTTAACCATCAATTTTATAAGAAGTAAAAAGAGAGCAATTTTGACAGAAAATTTGTTACTGTATGAGTCTCTAAGCTGTTTCCTCAGTAAATAAACATCTTTATTGATTGAATAATTGAGATTAATAAATCAAGTTAGGGTATCAATTATCAAAACACTAATGCGTTGCAAGAATTGTGGTCAAGATTATCAAGCCTCTTTTTTGATATAAGCGATGGTCTTAGTTTGTCGACAGTCGCCGTGTGCACCGTTATGTTAATTAGGTTAAACAAATAAGCACTGCAGCACTGTAATCATTATCAGAAGTTCGACACACGCCGCGGTTCCTTGAATTTTGTTATTATTTTTATTGTATTGCGGAAATGCAACACATTGTTTTTAAGCATGTTCTAGTGTTTTAATAAGTTTTGGTATTATTTTTTTTATTTCAATCGGGTAGTTAGAATGAAAAAGTTATACAGATCGAATTACTTTTAAATAACTCTCCTCTTATTGGCTGTTTGTTTCTTCTTGCCTGTCAATCAGCTTCAAGTTTATTAATATTCATGAGTACAGATTCATTGAGACAATATATTTATACACGTTGTGGAACCAGTACACTGATTTGCCGCGACTTCAATGAGATACACTCATTACACTGACCCCACAACTGGTATAAAATCCGCTCGTAATCTTACATTGAAACAGACGCTTCAATGGGTTGTTTGGTATCTGTCAATTTGTACCGACAGTTCACTGGGAACTAGCCAAAATCATCCTGGGTACTCATTTACACTACTCTAGTTTAGTTAACGGTGAGTTACCGCCGCAAATGCGGTTTCTACGAGTTTGAAATGAATTATTGATTATCATTATCGGTACCGGTAATTGATTTTTCGATAATTATTCGTAGCACTAATGTAAACAGTACTCAAAACAAACAGAGGAAATTTAAATCATCTCACCATAAGCTACTATCATTTTACTAACTTCACGAAATAACAGAACACCATTAGGTGAGGATACATCAAACTGTAACCTCTGTGATCTAAAACAGAAAAAACACAACCTCTCAGTTGAATTGAATTTTCGACAAAATAAATTAAATCTATTATAAACTAAATTTTAAAAAAAAAAAAAAAAGTCAAATAACCGGACTCTACAACTCAGTCTAAAATATTTAACAGCGTCATAAATTCTATCTTTCTTTCTAGCAACTGGCTCTTTTTCAAACCTTATCATACCAAAAATGAAATAATGCTCTTTTTACCTGTTTTGTGCTAATTCATTCATTAACTTGAGGACGGGTGTTGTTACTGTAGGATCATGATACCATAATTCTATAGCTCTTTGTAATATTGCTATATAGTTTGGATAACTGAAGTGTAGTTAAGGAGAGCAATTATAAGAAACTAAAAGAATATTCCTCTAAATATCCAAATAAAATCTCACAACAGGTACAAATAAGTGAAATAATAATAGGTATAACAAGGATACATCCATTCAAATAACATCATAAAGCTGATTTTGGTGTTGATAGGATTGGCTATACCTCGTAAATCTCTAGCTAAACCAATTAATGTTCTCTGAAAATATCAAATATAAATGTATTAAATCAATGAAATGACACAAGGCATTATTAACTTATTGTATTGAATTAAACAATTTCTGACTAACAAAAACTCATCTGACAAGCATTTCATAAAAACATCAGTAGAACTAGTTTTGAAAGCAGAGATGAAGATTCTAAATACTAACTTTGGCATCATCAACACTGCTTGGATTACCATTTGATAATAAATTACCCACTGTTTCAAAAGCAGCTAAAAATAGAAATAGTAACTTTTAGTTTATAATTTTACAAAAAAAAAGTGTATTTTGTTAACATATAAGTGTAATATCTAGATCATTAATACTCTAACCTGATTGATGCCTTTATCAAAAATATAACAGTGGAGGTATTTTAATCAAAAGAGGAAGCAATAAAGGATATATCATACCTGTTAATGGTGACATAAATTGGTAGAATTTCTCTTCATCTTCCCCTAAATCAACTAATAATAATCTAGCTATAGCTGTATAAAATGTGGTGCGACATCTCATATCAGCTATACGAGAATTACTACTGTTAATATCAAGGAATGGAAAGTGATCACTCTGGAAAAAAAAAGCAATACATAGAATTTCATTAACTTTTTAATCTTCATCCAGTTTTTTCCCTTTTTACTAGCATACATTTATGTTATGTTTGTAAATATGTATGTATGTACTATATTTCCAGTCTAAAACTGATTTGTGCTGCTATAAGTACTAAATTTTTTGCCATTAAACAGTTCTTAGGAGAATTAGACGAATATGTGATAACAATTCCATTCAAAATACAGATAGGTAAACAATACCTTATCCAAACCTTAGAAATTTATCGTGCCAGATAAGCACTGTGTCACTGCAGAAAAAGTACATGGAAAATTTCATATGAAAGAGTCAGGCAATGTATATGTAGTTATAAAATTGTACAGAAAATTGAGAACTTACAGTATGATTATTTAACATAAACTGTACTGCTTCTAATTTGACTAGTTTTCTTACACTGCTATATCCAGTAGATAAATCATTTAATAACTGTAATGTTTTAGATGTGATTTGTTCTGATCTACTCCAACATTTTAAATTGGTGATTCTGAAATGAATATAAGATAAGTAGATTTAAATAAGGAATTTTCTATGTTTTGTATCTACTTAGATAAATAAAACCAAAACAATGCATAGTACACAAAATTTACTTTCTCCTTAAAACACAAATCTCTTAATCAGCTGAATCTTTTCCCACTATTGTTTTTGGAAATGTATCTTTGAAAAATTCTTTTAAAAAATAATATATCAGGCCCCAAGAATTTCCAAATAGAAACACTTACATTTTTCCTATACATACACTTAGAACCATAGATTCATCATTTAAACCTAAAACTTCTGATAATCTTCTATAAACCTATAACAATAATAGAAAATTACAAATGAAAGTTTTACATCCTATTGTTGCATTGCTCGAAATTGAGCCACCTGTTTTGGGATTGCACTTTGAATTCTTGAATTAAAATAAGTTGTATTTTTCATAAGAATATTAAGTTATCATTAAAATAGATCATAATGAACTATTCAAATAATTCAAAGACATTTTTCTCAAAAATTTACCTTGGATGTTTTCTGTACTTGATCACCTAAATATATTTTCCGTAGTTGATCTAGAAAACTTAATATAGCTATATCTAATTTCTCACTACCACCTTGAGCTAGTCTAGAATCTGTTAAATTCATTAACTGTAGAACTCTGTAAGCAAAACAATTGGTGTGTAATCCTGTATTGTACTGTGAGTTTTACACTATAGCACTAAGATTATATTTGTTGATGGTAAGGGATGAGCTGAGCTGACAGACTTTATTCCTACACATATGGTTGAAACGTATGTGCAGTTGAGTTGGCAAAAGACATTATACAAGAATTTCTGTCTACTATTTCATCATTGATTCTTTTTGTTTTAAACTAATAAGATTTTATATAATAAATAACCTACCTACAAACTAATTCCCCATCCATAGCATCATGTTCATCAGTACTAGCGAACGCTACCCTACCCCCTATCACAGCACCAATTATATATACAAGCCAGGTTAAACGTCCTTCCTGTATAGCTATATCTACTGACTGTCCACCAGATGAAATAAGTTCCTGATAGGTTCTAGCTGATTCGTCAAATAATGATACTAATAAAGCACAGGTTTTATCATATTCACATCTTCCGATAGTCAGTAACTGAAAATAAAATAATAACTGATAGGGCACAGTTTTATTTATACATTTTGAAATAATAATCTTTTCAAGCTAATAAAGTTCCCTCACTCATTCTTAAAGTTTCCAGCAATATTCATTGGCTAACTGATGGACTCAGAGGGCTGGATTTGTTCACACGTTTATGATTGTCTATAAAACCCAGTCATTATATCTACCTGTTCTAACTGTTGTGAAATCATACCATGATCATCTAAGGGGTCTTCTAATCCTTCTCTAGAATAGTTGCAATAGATACAATTACATTTTATATCAATCAAACTGTTTTATTTCGAGAATTTCTTAATGTTTAATAGTAAATACATGAACAGTTATAGTAATCCAAAGGATTATGAAATTTAAATGAAATTACATTTAAATGATTTAAAATAAATCAAATTCATTTAGATAGCTGAAGGGTACATGTCATATTTTATTTAAAGTCAGCTTGCCAGGCAAGGTAATATACTCCCACTGGCAAATTGATTTTGAATAAAATTATTTGGCAGTAGAGTAAAAATCACCAGTATGAAACCTTCAGTCATACACTTCTTTTGAACTTTTTAATATAATATTACCAAATTTCATCAACCAAGAATTGGGCTTTTTAGAGTGTAAACAGGCTAAAAATTGAACACGTTTTCAAAAACAAGGACAATAACTCATACTAAATATTTTTAAATTTTTCTGATTTTTAATTGGATTCATCCATGGGTGATAAACACTCACTGCAAGTTTCGTCAAAATCTGTCAACCTTCTATTTACAAGCTAAAATTGAATGCGGTTTTCAATAACAAGGGCAATAACTCATACTAAATATTTTTCTATTTTCAATAGGGTTCATCCTTTGGTGATTACAAATGCTCACATCAGGTTTCACACCCATTTCATGTGGGGAGATAAAAAAAAACCCAGAATATTAAAACAGTTTGTAAATGATGTAAATTCTTACAAAATTATTTTGCATTGAGTGAAATTTTATCATATAATCAATCTATATACTATTGAAATACATATTTCTCCATTTTTTCCTCTAATTAAAATAAATGAATTTTCAGTGTTGAATATACCAACCTAATTACAACATGTACAGATGAAACTCTAGATGTTATATAAGCTTTAGTGACTTCTGGTGCGTAGGTTTCTAATGAATGGGGTATTGATGCTTTAAGATATGGTATAGATTGAACCATTCTATGCCATAAACTTAATAAATAATGAACACTATTCGGTGCAAACTGCCACATCTAAAATAAATACAAAAGCAGATTTTAATAAATTAATACTGAAAATTCCTTGGACGTTTTTGTTGTATAAATGAGTCCATATACCATTGAATCAATAGTTTAATTTTAAGTTACTGTAACTTTATAAATGTTTACAAAAGGTAAGTCCTCAACCTCAGTAAATGGGATGTCAAAAGGCATATGATTTTTTGATATAAAGAAAGTCAGCTAGAAATTGTCAATCATGTTTTGAGTAATTCATAACATGTTTTCATTTGTTCCACTTTTTAAACACTCTTATCCTTCAGGATCATATGATTTACAATAGTGATAAATAATGTATTACCTGTAAACTTGTTACTGTAAATTCTGCAATTAATTTAATAAATTCAGGATAGTTATCTACTTTAACTAATTCTAAGAGCTGATAATTAGATTTTAATCTAGCTAACAGACGACAGAACTCATGGTAGTTAGCTGGATCTGATAGACCCTGTAATCAACAGTTACATTAATACTTTACAAAAGATATTTCAAACTTTTAACCGAACAAATAGTAAATCATCACTATTATAATATATTGTGAAACAGTTATATGTCTGATATGACATTCCTTTGTTGTTGCAACTCAACCATTATTTTTGTCATTTTTCCGGTAGTATGCATTCTAAATTTCAACTTTTCATGTGATATCTAATTCTGAAATTTAATATTGAAATTAAATACACACCTGTGGGTTTTCTAGTATACCACGTACACCAGATACTAAATAATTGAGGAATTTAACTCGCTCAGCACTGTTAAATAATGATCTTCTAGTAGACGCCATTTGTACTAAACATGATAATGCCTGAAATATAAATAATTCATAAGTAATCAATTTCATCTCATCAGTTCTATTAGTTTTTATCTTCTTACACTTATTTCATAAATAATCAACATTTTCATATTCTTTTTCTAATCTCCCTTTTGATTACATTACAATAATATTAATGTCTCCATCAATGGTAAAAAGGAATACTTGATAATTGTTATTTACCATAGGTGATAATGTTGATGGTAACCCATTAAATAAATCAAAGAAGAGTTGAACAGTAGTGAAGTCTAAGAAAGCTGAAAAAGAAAAACAATAGTTCCTTAAAATATCCAAGAAATACCAGAGCAACCGCTATTAAGGGGGACAATAAGAGTGCTGAAAACTATAATTAGTCAGTCCTGACTCCTGGGGTTAGAAACAAGTAAGCATTACCTGTTCTCCAGGTTGTAGGAATCTGAGCGTTAGATAAATCATCTGATGATTCATCTGTACAATTACCACTGAAGTCAAATGTTAGTGTATTTAGAGTCAACTGTAGTGTATGTGATAATAAACCATGCTGAAATACAAAACAATAGTTATCAGTTTTTCATCTTCCCATAAATACATTTAACTAATTGGAGAGAATCCTGGGCGACCTAACAACAAGGATTCGAGAGCAACTAAATATTCAAATATTGCTTGGAAATGGAGTACATAAATATGATCCTTTTCTTCCTATTAATCATAACTTAACATCAGACTGTAGTCAATAATATCTACAATTTTTAAATTAAATCAATACATTAGATTTACAAACCTGATTAACATCTGATAAGTCTAGATTCTTTAGGTTTCCTACAGCAGTTCTTAATAATGTACATGCTAGTTGAAATATTTCATATAACTGGGTATCAACAAATGATAAAGCAATCTTTCTGTATTTAGTTAAAGAACGAGATGCTTCAGCCTGAAAATTTTAAAAAGGATTATCTTACTGCTTAGTTTGAGTTGAGTAGTTGTGTCCAGAGAATCTCTCTCAAAATAATGATGTACTTGTAAATGTTTTAAACATTGATGGGTCATACAGTCTTCTTTATATATTCTGTTTTATCAATGTTTTTTGGCCATTTTTTTTTTTATACATTGGAATAGATCTTGAATTTATTATTGTCGAATTTTCAAATCAAAGCAATTCTTATTTTGGAATAGAATTGAAACTAAAATATTATCCCTAAGCTTATATTTCATTTTGGAAATATTCCAGTCTGGAGTACACTATAAAAACTAATCAGAGGTTAATTTTGCTGTACAGTTAATACAGAATATCAAATAACTTCATTCAATGCCATGCAGATAAATAAATATATATAGAGTCAGAATCTAACTCACCTCACTTACTTGATTAACTTCACTGACTAACTGAGATAAGATCTGAACACCTATCATCACATGTTGTGTTGAACCACTCTATAAACAAGCACAATGATATATTTTATCTGACAGATGAGCTACTTTTCCTTATGCTATAGTCAAATATAACTCTTATATTTAGCACAATCTGACAAAGTTTTAATAACATATAAATGGATCCTGATCAGCAAAGTTCTGGACCACTTAATCAATTCAATCAAATTATTTTCAAGATTTTTATAGCATATCATAGGAATATTTAAAAATTCTAGCAATTAATAGAGAAAAATGTCTTGAGATTATAGTTGATCATTGAATCTTAATTTTGATCCAGTTATTCATGTTGAATGTTTGGGGACTTTTGAAGATTATTAAGATATATTATGTGAAAGAAAGTGTTACAATATATACCTGAATAAATTTACCAACATCACTAACTACATTACGAAACACGTATTCATCCTTATTCACATCAAACCAGCCATACTTTGTTATTCTGACAAAAAGCTGAAATAATTTAGGTCAATACATGGTATAAGATAGCTTGCCAGGCAAGGTAATATACGCCCACTGATAGCTTTGTTTGAAATTGAATATTTGTTAGAAAATAGCAAACATAGACACCAGGAAATATTCAACTTATACCCAAATCCATCACAAACTGTGCCATCACAAGTTAAAAATCAAACACATTTGTAAGAATAACGGCAATAACTTGTATTTTATATTTCAAAAGGTTTAGTTTTGATTGTGATCAATTTCATCAAGTTGTCAAATTTGTTTTAGACTTCTGCTTTGTAGAATAAAAATTACGTGTTGTACAAGATTTTTGATCAGATTTATCCTTGGGTGAGTTCAATAAGTCTGTCATGAATTGTGTATTTGCAGATTATATTCAAAAATATAGGCAATAATTCATACTACATATTTTTCGATTTCCCTGATTTTTCTATAGGGTTTATCCTTGGGTGACCAAAATAGTTTCTCAGGAAAATAATGACATCTATTGTAAATTGTGATTATGAACAAAAATATTGTGACTTGTAGAGTCTGTCAAGAATTGTGCCTCCTAGAGTGTTTACAAGCTAAAAATTGAACTCGTTTTCAAGAACAAGGGCAATAATTCATACTACATATTTTTCAATTTCCCTGATTTTTCTATAGGGTTTATCCTTGGGTGAATACGAACACTCATACCAAGTTTCGTCAAAATCTGTCAAGAATTGTGCCTTCTAGAGTGTTTACGAGCTAAAAATTGAACGGTTTGCAAGAACAAGGGCAATACTTCATACTAAATATTTTTCGATTTCGCTGATTTTCAATAGGGTTTATCCTTGGGTGATTACAAACACTCATACGAAGTTTCGTTAAAATCCATCAAGAATTGCGCCCTGTAGAGTGATTACGAGCTAAAAATTGAACCTGTTTTCAAGAACAAGGGCAATAATTCATACTAAATATTTTTTGATTTCGCTGATTTTCAATAGGGTTTATCCTTGGGTGATTACAAACACTCATAACAAGTTCTGTTAAAATCCTTCAAGAATTGTGCCTTCTAGAGTGTTTACGAGCTAAAAATTGAACACGTTTTCAATGACAAGGGCAATAATTCATACTAAATATTTTACGATTTCACTGATTTTCAATAGGGTTTATCCTTGGGTGATTACGAACACTCATACCAAGTTTCGTTAAAATCCTTCAAGAATTGTGCCTTCTAGAGTGTTTATGGGCTAAAAATTGAATGCGTTTTCAAGAACAAGGGCAATAATTCATACTAAATATTTTTCGATTTCGCTGATTTTCAATAGGGTTTATCCTTGGGTGATTACGAACACTCATACCAAGTTTCGTCAAAATCTGTCAAGAATTGTGCCTTCTAGAGTGTTTACGAGCTAAAAATTGAACGCGTTTGCAAGAACAAGGGCAATAATTCATACTAAATATTTTTCGATTTCGCTGTTTTCAATAGGGTTTATCCTTGGGTGATTATGAACACTCATACCAAGTTTCGTTAAAATCCTTCAAGAATTAGGCCTTCTAGAACGTTTACGAGCTAAAAATTGAACGCGTTTTCAAGAACAAGGGCAATAATTCATACTTAATATTTTTCGATTTCGCTGATTTTCAATAGGGTCTATCCTTGGGGGATAACGAACACTCATACCAAGTTTCGTCAAAATCTGTCAAGAATTGTGCCTTCTAGAGTGTTTACGAGCTAAAAATTGAACGCGTTTGCAAGAACAAGGGCAATAATTCATACTATATATTTTTCGATTTCGCTGATTTTCAATAGGGTTTATCCTTGGGTGATTACAAACACTCATACCAAGTTGCGTCAAAATCTGTCAAGAATTGTGCCTTCTAGAGTGTTTACGAGCTAAAATTAACAAGGGCAATAATTCATGCTAAATATTTTTCGATTTCGCTGATTTTCAATAGGGTTTATCCTTGGGTGATTGCGAACACACATATTAAGTTTCGTTAAAATCCGTCAAGAATTGTGCCCTGTAGAGTGTTTACGAGCAATTGTGGACGAACGGACCGACGGACATGGGTGACGACAATATACGCCCCCCATTTCATGTGGGCGTATAAAAATGTCCTCAAAGTCTATTGAAAAATGTCCCCAGAAATAAGGCATTCTCGAACCTTCAAAATCATTAATCTAAAAAACCTCCCTAGGGAAGAACTTAACTTCTTACAAAATAAGGAATATATCAGTCTAAAGCACTTTGCTTAGATATTATTCTATACCTACCAGCCAGCAACTTATATACATTTTAGATCACATCAAATACCCACCTGAACTAAAGCTTGTGAAACATAATGAAGAAGCTTAGGACGGTTGGCTAAATAGTTCAAAATATAATTTCCTGCAAAGAGAATAGAACAGAAAATAAAACAAATTTTACACTTTTGTCAGTATAAGCTTATAGATTAATAGGGAACAGTGTGCAAAAAAAAAAATAGAGAAAATTGTAATGATCAACTAAGGGTCAACGGGGCTCCAATGTGAGGGTATATTGGAGATTTTACCATTTGAAGATGCTTTCCTATAAAAATCATTTCATACCTTTAACCAAATTTTATTGTGGTTTATTCCAAAATAGAGTAAAATTACCACTGGCCAGAAAACAGAGGAATTCCTCTAGATAATGGAAGTCTGGGATCCCTAGAATAAGCTTAGATAAAGAAAATAATAAAAACTAACTTATGTCAATTCTCTGTTCTAAGGGTAAAGTCACATTTGGTCTACTGACTAGTTTTGTCAGTGTTGTGGCTGCCAAAAGTTGTGCATATGGTGACTGTAAAAAAAATATCTATTATCATTTAAAAATCAGGAGACATGGAATAGCTATAAAACCCTTGAAATTTACATATCAAGATAGCTTGCCAGACAAGACAATATACGTCCACCGGCATCTTTGATTTCAAATAGAAATATTTGGCAGTACAGTAACAATAACCAGTATGAAATATTCAACCTTCAGATTTACACTTATTTTGAAATTTTTCATGCAATACTGAATAATATCACCAAATTTTATCAATATCTGTTAAGGATTGGGCATTCTAGATTGTTTACAGGCTAAAACTTGAACGTGTTTTTAATAATATTACTAACACTCATACCAAGTTTCATCTACATCTGTCAAGATTTGTACCTTATGGAGTGTTTACGTTTTCAAGAACAAGGGTAATAACTCAAACTAAATATTTTTCAATTATTTTGTTTTTCGATAGGGTTTATCCTTGGGTGATTACAAAAACACCAAGTTTCATTAACATCCACCCAGAATTGTGCCTTCTAGAGGGTTTACAAGCTAAAATTGAACGCGTTTTCAAGAACAAGGGCAATAACTCATAATAATTGGGTTTTTTTTTACTTTAAATAGGGTTCATCCTGGGTGATAACAAACACTCACACCAAGTTTCATCAAAATCTGTCAAGAATTGCGCTTTCTAGAGCGTTTTAAGAACAATGGCAATAACTCAAACAAAATATTTTTCGATTTTTCTGATTTTCAATAAGGTTCATCTTTGGGTGATTACAAACACAACCATACCAAGTTTCGTCCTAATCAATCAAGAATTCTGCCTTGTAGAGCGTATACGAGCCATTGTGGACGGACAGGATGTGGGCATATAAAAAATAATCAAAACTCTTTCAATCAGATTTACTGTGATCAATTAGATCAATTAGAATAGCAAATAGAACATCTATTAATAGGGTCTCCTGCACTCATAACAGATTACGTTACGTTAACGACCAACATAACATGAAAGAACCTACACTGCCTCTTTCAAGAAGTAATTGACACTTATTCAAGCAATCCGGTGACATAGCAAAGGCAACCAATGCCTTTTCTGCTTCAGAGCGAACATTGCTATCGGCTGTCTCATAGAGCTGTTTACACAATTCTTCAAGTCGGAGAAGTTCCTAAAAAAGTGTAGAAAAAAATCATTTTCAATCAATCTTAAAAAATCAGTTTTCTATAATAATTTGATCTTCCCTCCTCATAGACCGAAACATCTGTCTCTATTCCAGAACTCTTGCTGGTATACAGACAGAAAAAACTACATGTCACGTCTCCTGTTCCTTTTGCCTTAGTTCTTTTTAATGAAAATGATCTCGCATCAACCATTGGCGTGTCAGCCATAAGTTCAAAATTCACAAATCCCTATCAAACAGGGCCTATTTTTCTCTGTATCTACTCCAGCAGACAAAATATCAATCAGAAGCTGGAAAGATCAAAATGTAATATTCATCATAACAATAGCAATAGGGGTGTCAAAGTAACTAAGACTGCCTGGAATATGCAGATTAAAAATTACACAGCATAAAAACATTGTTTATTATAATTATTTGGCTAGATCTTACAACCTACAAATGCACTATGGTAGAGTTAGACAGAGAAGTCCAGACCATGGGATAAAAAAAAAGATATCGCACACCCTCATGTCGTTCAATCAGTGACTCTAGTCGTATGATATTTCACCCTGACTTTCCAGAGACACATATGCGTATTTGACAGGATTGACAAGACTGTAACTTAGTTACTTTGCATGGAAACTGTGATTTTTAATCAATGTTTTGAAAATTTTACTCACCTGTTCCTCCGCCATTTTTGTTGTCTCGTATCACGCGCGGCTACAGATGGCGCTGCATATGGCTAAACTATCTAAGCAGACTTTTTCGGTCTAATTTCACAATTGGCTAAAATATATAGACGGTTGAATTAAAAAACCAATTTCAAATTAATTCTAGATTGTGTTATGTTATACCACATATATTTTATCTGGCAAAATCTATCAATTTTTGCAAATTTCGTATTACCGAGTCGAGTGTTCGGATTTTCATTGCAGGGGAGATTATCAATGCTTCTAAATCATTAAATTTCAAGTTCGTATGTAAAACACTGAATAAATGTTTTTGTCCAAGCTTTTCAGGTTGTCTTCTCCTACATTACATGTAAACTGCGTCACTTACTCTGCATTTCACACCAGTGCTATGGCTCAAGCAAAAGTTGCAGTGGTAAATATTATGAAATGCATTTTTTATTTTGATTTTAATAAAACCCAGACCACAACTAATAAATTAAATGCAAGCTCTTATTAGAATCATAATTTCAAAAGTGCCATTGAATTTAATAAATACCAACTTCTGCAATATGAAATACTTCATTAGACCTTCACTTACACATTTCTACTGTCTTTAGATTAATTAACAAGTTATTATGTAGATATAGCCTATAGTAGCCTATATATTTATTTCTAACAATTTGATATATTGTAAAGATGAGGAAACCTTATGATTTCATAAATTTTATGTCAATAATGAAGAGATTTTCAGTCTATTCTTGCCATTTTTATACCCCCACATGAAATGGGCGGGGTATATTGTCGTCACCCATGTACGTCGTTTGGTTGGTCCGTCCGTCCACAATTTTTCGTACACACTCTAAAAGGCACAATCCTTAACTGATTATGACGAAACTTAGTATGATTGTTTGTAATCAACCAAGGATGAACCCTATTGAAAATCAGAAAATTGAAAAAAATATTTAGTTTGAGTTATTGCCCTTGTTCTTGAAAACGCGTTCAATTTTTAGCTCGTGAACACTCCAGAAGACAAAATTCTGGTGAAATCGGTGTGAGTGTTAGTAATCACCCAAGGATGACCCCTATTGAAAATCGGAAAAAAGGAAAAAAATAGTATGAGTTATTGCCCTTGTTCTTGAAAACATGTTTAATTTCTAGAAGGTTCAATTTTTGTGAGATTTTGACAAAATCGGATGTGAATGTTTAAACCCTATTGAACTACAGAAAATTGAAAAATATTCAGTATGAGTTATTGCCCTTGTTCTTGAAAATGCGTTTGACGAAACTTGGTGTGAGTTTTTGTAATCACCCAAGGATGACCCCTATTGAAAATCAGAAAAATATTAAGTATGAGTTATTGCCCTTGTTCCTGAAAACGCATTCCATTTACAGCTCGTCAACATTGTAGATGACACAATTCTTGACAGATTTTTACAAAACATGGTAATATTATTCGGTATCACCCAAAAACTTAAAAAGAAGTGACTGAAGGTTGAATATTTCATACCAGTATATGAATAATTTTATTCAAAATCAAGCTGCCAGTGGGCGTATATTTCCTTGTCTGGCAAGCTATCTTTATTTTCAAATGTAGATACTGTCGGGATGTGGTGTATATGATGGAACTGAGGTACACGAAGCATCTGCGTAAGTTGTAACTGAATTTCTATACTTTTTTGATTTATTAGGACACATAACATTAAATCAATATTGATTTTAAACATTTAAATGTTATCTGTAAAAAAGATAAGATAAGGTAATATTGGCAAGTAAAGTCATCATCCAGTTCGCATGCTTTTACATTGTAATAAAGAAAAGGAAATGCTTTCAGATTATGTCAAATTTTGCAGATGTGGTTTGGAGTGTGAAATGCATCAAACTGCATGCCAACATGTAGAGATTTAACTTAAAATATCCAAACATTAGGTCACAAACAACAAACACAAAAATCTACAAAAGTCTTAACCGGTAACCTAAGTATTTTGAATCCCCCAGGCCTGTTTTTACTGTACTAGACAATATTTGATTATGAGAAATGAATTCTGAATGGACCACCAATTGTTGATAACCACTCAGCAGCAATTTCACAAACGTGCCTCCACATGAAGAGTTGTAGGCCTGTAGTTAAAAATACACTGTCCAAACAAAAATCATGTCATGTATTTTTTTAATTCAACAATTCTTAAATTTGATGTTTAAACTGGTTTCTGTTTCAAGATTAACGTATAGAAACTATATAAAGGACATAAGCCAGTTTACACGTTGAAATTAAAACAGAATACCCCTTTAATTGTGATTTATATTTTTTGTTTCAGTATTTTAGTACATCTAAGTCGAGCTGGAAGTGAAGTTGGAATGTTTGCTCCTAATATTAACCAAATGCATGTTATCAACCATACAAAAGGTGAACCAATGGAACAAAATAGGTAATGTTAGCAATGTGTGTATTAGTTACAATAATGATTATACAAATCTTTTATTTACAGTTAACTGTTAGATCTGTTCATACAAGTATAATGTTCTCCTGTTACTTATAAGCTTAATAATATACAATCATATCAAAACTGCAGTTAAAAAACAATTCAAATAAAAATAAAAAGTGTTCTTTTAGAATGAATGTTAGTTAATATAATGAAACAACTAACTGTTTATGTGGACGTATATTGTTGGCACCCCTGTCCGTCGGTCCGTCCGTCCGTCAGTTTTTGATGGAATTAATTGAAATTCGGTATGTGTATACATATTTATAAAACGAAGATCAAGTTCGAATTTGAGCTATTTTCGACCATTGGAAGCAGAGTTATTGCCCTTGCCCCAAAATCTTGAATACGCTATTGCTCTCTTAGTTTTCAACCGATTTTGATGGAACTTAAAATGGATGTTATTGGACCTAAATCGAAAGGTTTGAGAAAGTTTAGTTTACTTCTGATTAAATATAAGGCTATTCGGTATGTGTAGACATATTCATAAAACGAAGATCAAGTTCGAATTTGAGCTATTTTTGACCGTAAGAAGCAGAGTTATTGCCCTTGCCCCAAAATCTTTAATATTTACCACCCGCATGCCGCGGTGGGCGTATATGGCTGTGGTCCACTATCTGTTTATTTATGTGTACAGAAATGTGTTAGAAGAATCAGCAAGAATAGCAAGAGGAAAAATTTCAGCACTGTCAGAACTTGACTCAAAAAAATTTGATGCCGTTATCTTTCCTGGTGGATTTGGTGCTGCAAAGAATCTGTAAGGTTAAAGTTCATCTTGAAGTGAATTTCATCAGTTGTTTCTTTCTGCATGTATTTGAAAAATAACTTACATCAGATGATTAGAGATGAATTGATTCCCATATACTGGTAAAGAAAGATTCCTCATTAGACCAATTCTTGGAAGCAATGTTCATTATGACAATGAACCAATCAGCCATAACGCTAATCCCCTACCCTAACACTAACCTACCTACCCTAAATCCATCCCCTAACCCTAATCCCTCCACAACCCTACCTATCCCTATCCCACCTTAACCAGCAATAGATCATAATGCAATAACCCTCTGAGCATTTAGTACTATACCATAAATTGTTACAGAGAAAATTAACGTATTCGCTGTCATTTATAAAGTTAAATTTTTAACTTTTGTACGATTTCAGTTCAAGTTTTGCATCTGATGGAACTGCCATGAAAGTCAATGACGAAGTAGAAAAGACATTGAAAGATTTTTATAATGAGAAAAAGCCCATTGGGTCAGTAGATTTTTTCTATTAGTAATTAGTTCAGTAAAACTTTTGACACAAGCATCATGATTTTCATATGCCCACAAATATATACCCTGGCAGTCCGTCGGTCAGTTCACATGTGGCTCGTGCTCATTCTACAGGCTACAACTCTTTTGATTTTTATTTAGTGGGTCAATGTCATTATGAAGATGATTCGTAGCGGTTTTTTGTGATGATCTGGTAGTTTTTCACCGAAATATTGTGTGCTACTTACCGTTTTCATACTATTAACTGTATTGTGCAACTCGTGCTTACTCTACAGGCAACAATTCATTATGGATTCTTTTGATTTTTATTTTGTAGGTCAATGTCATTATGAAGATGATCTATATCTAATTTCGTGATGATCTGATAATTTTTCACCAAAATGTTATTTTCAACTTAGTGTATACCCTATATTAGACATATAGTCCAACTTTTGCTCACTCTTCAAGCAACAATTCTTTATGGATTTTTTTGATTTTTATATGCCCACACTAGTATGGAAGCATATTGTCGTCCATCTGTCTGTTCACAATTGGCTCATGCTCACTGTACAGGCCACAAACAATGATTTGTACTTGAAATCAAAGCTGTTGGTGGGCGTATGTCACCATGCTTCGCAACGCTATCTTATCATTCATGCTTACCAATTGAAAATTATGTAAAAAGTTCATAACAATTTTCTCAGATTAATAGAGACAAGTGGAGACACCTATAGATAAAACATTTGCATCTAAATAGATGAAGTTCATTTTCAGCTACTTTTCAGGCCATTCTTACTGTTGATAGAGGTTTTTTTAAACTCAACTACTTTTAAGGCATATATTGTGTATATTTTAAACTATGATATTTTTAGATTGTGTTGTATATCACCAGTATTAGCAGCTAAAGTATTCAATGGATGTGAAGTAACAGTAGGATCTGATAAAGAAGAAGGTGGTAAATGGCCTCATGCTGGAACTGCTGGTGCTATTGAATCGATGGGTTCCAAGCATATTAAAAAGTCTGTGACTGTATCCTTTAATTAGCATTGTGTCTCTATTGGTCATAATTGCAAGTAAACCTTAAGAATGACAAGGTGTTGTTGATAAATGTTAAGAGCTAATAATTACATTTTGATATTCTCCATGTAAGGGTCCTTAATCATACACAGTGAAGATGTCAGTGTGCTTTCTACACAAAATTAGATCTCTGCAGCTTATGATTCAGAAGAATAAGGTCAAAAAAGGACATAAAATTGGAAAAACAAATCCATTAAAACTTGAAAAGCTAGCTTGGATCTAGTTTTAATTCATTGTTTCAGAATCCAAAATTGTCATTCATTGCTGATTATTCACTTGTTTTCCTTGACTTTAGTTTTCTTAGGAATGTCATGTAGACGACAAAAACAAAATAGTAACAACTCCAGCATTTATGTGTGAAACTAAACTCCATGAGATATTTGATGGCATTGGTGTAATGGTCAATAAAGTTTTATCTCTTACAAAGTAAATAAGACAAATGAGAAATTACAAATAAATGATATTGGATTTTTTAGTTGAATATTTTAAGTGCCCCAAAGAAACCTATTGTATTCTTGTGAAAATTTGGTGTGAATCTTTGATATAAGAAATGTCTGGTCTAGAACCAGAATCAAGGACTGAATATTAAGAACTGATGAATTACTAAACTAAGTTTTTGAAAAAAAACAAATTGAAGAGCTATATTTAGTACAAGATTAAGATTTCTTACAATATTTATATCACAGAAAGCATTAATAATAAAACATACATTAAAATAATGTATATGTATATCACAGGAATGTTTATAACATTATACTGAACAATAAACTTTGTTTGATTCAATCTTTTTTTATTTGTTAACATTTCCATGAAATTGTTATTACCATAGTAATACACATTTCACATTTTGAAATTGTGAGATTCCGCTTTCTTAGTACATAGAATTTATAATATCATCAAAGAAACATGACACAAGCACTTTATCATAAACAATATCTGGTAGAAAAATTTCACCATTTCTTTTGATTGAAATATACAGTTCAGACCATGAAAGAGGACAACTTCATATACTGAAGCTATTAAAAATATTAAGATACATAGCCCCTAATTCAACATAGATAGTTAGGATTGATGTGGCATGGTACTTGACATCAAAAACAATCATGAAGATGGGGTAACTGCAACTTTATGAATTTTGTTGATTCTGGCGATGATTTGATTTTCTTTTTCTTGAAGTTTTTTGGCTACATCAGTCTGTAAAATGAAATATAAAAATAAATACAATGGCAAATCTCTAAGAACAAAGAATTAATGTTAAGATTAATTAAGATCATTAATAAAACTGTTCATAGTAATGAAATGCCTATTGACTAAGATATAAGTATTTAAATGCTCTGATGACCTTGCAGAAATATTGCAACACTGCCATTGTACAACATAAGAGGTAGCCTGTGAAAATCAAGTTAACCAGTCATGATTGGATGCATGACTAAAACTCTAAAAATAGTTGTGAATCTTTTCCATATATAAGAAGGTATTCTGACCTGTAAACCTCCCAACATTTCTTTAGATACACTTTCTATAATATCTCTAACATCTTCTGGTGTTAATTCACTATAGATATTGATATCTTCTGGTAAAACTTTATCAATATCAACTTCTTTGTTTACTGTATTATCTTCTTCATTTGGCTAGATGTCATATAACATATAAATATATTATATAATTAAACCAGGAAATTACTGAATAATATCAACTGATTATACCTATATTTATTTTACTTGTAGATAACAATAATTCTTTTTTTGCAAAAAATTTAAAGGGAGGTTTTAGATTCTCCCGATTTAGTTCATAAACATAGAGAATGTCGAGCCAAGCACTCTTCAATAAGGGAAATTTTATGAATCTGTACTATTACCGCATCTACTGATGGGGATTAATTTTAAAAGAGAAGGAAAATGTTTATTTACTTCAGGAGTAGGAGATGGTGGTGGGGTAGCTATATATTGTTGATATATATTCTCATTTATACCTTCATCTAATGGTGGAGGGAAAGGTACATCTGCAGCCAAACAAACTTCAACATCAACCTAATAGTAGTATTAAAATATATGAGATAAATATCATTGACTTAGTTCAATTTTAAATGATTTGATGATGAGGTTTGGTTATAAAATAAAATATCTGTAGTCTATACATTGAATACTAACTAATGGGCCTACTTACATCTGTTCCTATAATTTCTTCAGCTTGTGTGTGACTAAACATAAACTCATATATTTTATAGTGCTGAAATAAACTGAAATAAAGCCATAAAATTTTCATTCATATATGAAATTTCAAAGGAAGCTTCAAACAGACAAAAACTGTCTATAATGATTAATACTAATATTCTTTATCTTAATTAAGTAAAGGAAAACATACTTAGAAAATCTAAATTAACTATTTTCCAAAGAAGACCAATGAAAATTTAGGCAATGATGTCCTTTCGGTATTAATCAAGTTCTTTCTTATGTGTGAAAAAATAATGAAACTTTGTAAATACCTGTTGGAAACATAGTCTGATATAAGTTTAGCTTGTTGAATATTGAAAAACTGTAAACCACCAGAAGGCTGAATAGCATGTTCTACACCAATACCAACCAACATTTTCTGTAATTCTTTTATATTTTCTATGATGCTCATATGTTTTTCTATAATAAAGAATATCTTCATTGAGGAAATATGAAATCATGAAATAAAATGAATTTAATAATTTCCTCTCTGGTCCTGATGAACACATTAAGCTCACAGATTTTCAATTACTTTGTATTATATTAAAATTATATTAAAATACTAAAATTAATGATCAAACCTTTTACATTATCCAGTAATGTATGTATAACTGTAAAAAACCCTGATAGCTGTTGTTCAGTGAAAGAATTTTCTTTAGCCCACCATACAGCAGCAGTATAATAATCTAATATGGATGCTTCTTTTAAATCTGTTAAATTATCTTGTAGTTTAAAGATGTCACTTAATTTTCTGAAAGAAACCATTGATGCACCACTTTTTAACCACTCGTACTTTAGTCTTAGAAATTCATAGCTCACCATTGAAATTTGAGTCTTCAAATCCAAGTGTGTCCAGAATTACTCGCATATGAAAGTTAAAATGACAAGTCAACATTTTATGAGACACCTATAGAGATAAGAAAAGAAATTCCTAGTTATAGAAGACAAAAATCTTAATCCAGAATCACATTGCCTGAGTTACAGAGTAGGAAGACATTTCATTTTCAAAACCTTTCATTTCTATTAATTGTGTAGGCCTTCTACTTAATTAACTAATAACAACATTATTAAGCTAAAATCCAACTTACAGTTGCATATTCTCCACACTTAGAGCAAGTAATTCTTTACAATGATCTGCTGTTAAAACTTTATAAGCCATGGCCGTCTCTTTACCGTCAAGTTCATCACCCTGTAACAAATTCATAATATGTTGCATTAGTTTTACCACCATTGACAATTTAAGATGATTTTTTTGGTCCGATCCAGTCCACAGGGACTGTATGTAATATGTAATAAGAAGATAAAGGGAAACAACAAATGCCAGGGAAATAATTTAAGCAAATGGAATAAAGTGGCTTTACTGCATGAAAACACCTTGCATCTGTACAATAAAATGAATGTTGTGAATAATGCATTTTATTTAAAGAATATAACATATGAACAATTACGGCCATTTTTTTTACAGATGCGAGGTGTTTCCACTTAATAAAACGACTTATATTCCAATTGTTAACATTTTTTCACCGGCATCCGTCTTTTTATACTGTGATCCACTCCAGTCATATTGACAACATTGTCACAGACAAAAAAAAATACGAAAAAGGGCACCTGTACATGTGTTAATGGCCATTACTTACTACAGTCACTCTTTTCTGTTTTAAGTCTGATTTTGTTGGTGACACATTTCCACTGGAAGATACTGGCGAAGCAGTTTTATTCATTTTTGCAGATAATCTTGCCGTGGAAGTTTTATTGTTAGCCATCTTGGTTTCTAATATAAACAATAGCTAAATTTGTTTTCTAAGGAGAGAGATATTGAAGGGGAGATAACTTACCTGCCCCTTTTTCTTCTTGTCCTTTTTCGTTGACTGAAAATAATCACAAAAAAATTTAATAAGAAAATGATTAAGGTGTATTCTTAGATATAACTCATGAGAATAATATGATAATTCCATAAGAATCGTGATGGTGAATGAAATTAAGTGTTAAACAAATGAAGTTCACACGATCAATAGAAGAGGCTGGGATAATCATGTCTAAATTTCACATTGCAATGTGAAAGTTTACGTCATAATATTGTAGCCAATCACAAAGAAGTGGGTCATGTCATACTGTCTTTGACTTCATTCATATTCTCTTAGTGACAACGTAGGCTGCATGTATAATAGTAATATAAAAACATAGCTATTAGATAAAATAGCTAAAATTCCGATATCATTCCCTCTTGTGTCATTTTGGGGGATTGATTTGATACATGGATGTATCAAAAGTAGTGAAGTTACCCCTTTAAGTTTTAAGGACAAAAGTAGTTTTTCGTTTGAACCCTTATTATCAGTATGTTATTATAGAGCCTATGGATCAGAACAGTTGTAATGAAAGATTTTGGACTGTTTTAGGATAGCATTCATTCGAGAAATAAGATATGAGCTTATTAAATTAGATCTTGACAAATATTAATGTAGCATAATTTAAACAATACACCGAAATTCTCATTGTAGGCCTAGGCTACTCCAGTCAGGTTTACCAACAAGGCCTAAAGTCTATTTTTGATTATGCTTTGTAGGTATGTAAAGGTCCTACCGTATAATGTACTCCAGTCACAATTATATTAGACCCCTATAGAGCAACAACATACATCCTTTGTATTTGAATTTTCCTTCGAATGTGAAGCTTACCATAACAAAAATCTTAAAATAGTATATCTAACATAAAATCCATTACAACTTAACAATGTAGCTTAGGCTTACTTTAGAACAGTAGTTGTCAACGTGACGTACGATACGTAATCTTTCTATATTATAAATAATCCATTGACGAGATTTAATTAATCTGATAAGATTATAGGACAATGTTATTATAGACTATTTATTTTATACGTTTATATGATTGTCGTGTTGATCAAACCTGTTTCATTTGAAACCTCACAAGACATTGGTTTTGTCCGATATAAGCAATATATAAAACAAAATTTAATTTTATATCTGAATCTTTAAAAGTTAGAAGTTAAATTGTAGGCTAATTCGACTTCAAGAGTGATTTATTTTAAATACATCGTCGTGTAAACCTCATCAATACATAGACGGGACCTTGGTTCACTTAAATATTCAAAAAACATCGAATGAGGCAGTGAATTTAAACTAATCGCAACGGCTGAAATGAATGAAGATTTACGTTCTACTCTTCTATATCTCTAATGCAGACGGGCAACATCATGAAGTGTGCAATAAGAGAAATTTTGCTGTATTAGTCTAATTTTTTTTCGATTTCCAACTGTGTTGATTGGCATTATTACCCAAATTTCAAATTCCCAATACGAGGTCTGTCTACTAAGTAAAACACGATAGAAATATGTCAGGGTTTCTGGCTTGTTGGAGAGGCGGTGTTTCAAATAGAGATCAATATATTGTACTGTTTTTTATCTTTGTATGCTGCTCACAATGGCCTTTTATGCAATAAATCTTATCTTATCTTATCAGTCATTGGAAGAGTTTGAAGAGGTATGTTTTAAACCGCCCATATCCTAAAGATACTTTTTTGATAATGCAATAATTACTAGGCCCTTAGACAACGCTATATATTGCTACTAGAAAATGATTGAGATTGTTTCGTCCTATCTATTAGTGTAATTTATGGCAAGGCACCATGCTTACAGTGATAAAATTATATTGAAGTTTATTAGTAGGCTATGTCAGTAACAAAAATATTGCTTAAAATCACATTAAATTTTAAGGCTGACTTTACCCTGATAATCTTAATATTATTTGGCAGATGCTATTTTAGTCAGAAAGACTATATTTACATTTTTTGTGTGTTTTAGCTTTACAAAGGTGTGAGGGACTGTTGCTTTACTGTGTCCTTCTCGTACATAGTAATAGTTTCTTCGTCAAAATATTTTGTCTATTCATTCAACCATATCATCATACTTATTTTTCATATTAACATTCAACACCCAATTTGTTTAGACAAGAAAATTGTTGCGAATATTCATAAATTTATAGTTTACGAACTATTTCCAACGTATAACACAACACCAATTCACTTGTACTCCTAGCCCACAACCTTGTCTTGTTCAGTACAATCCCAAGCAGATTTAGGGTTAATGGTGATAAGAACATAGTCTCATGAAAGCACTGGCCTAGGTCACATTACATGTACTTTGTTTGCTGGCACTGGCAAAGTTAGTGTTAGATCTAAGTATTACAACACAGTTAATCCATCTAAATCCTAAGGTACTGAATGAGGAGTTCCTTCCCTTAATGGCTACTTTTGGTTCAACAAGTCAAGTTACTGTCACTGAAAAATTCGGAATGACCGATCCATTATGTAACATCAGCAGGGGCGTATCTAGAAATGCCTTTGGGGAAGTCAAAAATGAGAGGTGTTTCTCCGAAGTGAGGCCTGAAAGGCCAACGCCCCTTGAGGCTGAGGGTACTGGGGACTGAGATGAAGTTTGAGCATTTAGAAGGCTTAATTTTCACTTCAAAATCACAGGCTTGAGGGAGGACCATGGCCCAATGGCGCTCTCCCTAAATACACTACTGAATATCATTAGAAGAGCACTTTTTTTTAATTTTAAAAATGCCCAGTAGGCCTTTCTGGCAATTTTATCAGTATGGAAACCGTTGGAAAATGAATAAAACATTCAGGTCACGCAAGATATAGACTGACTGTTATTGATAGTGTATACATGATGTAGTCATTGATTTAATTCATATAACAGACATTAATGATAGATAGATGTTATATTCTGTGTAAGGCCTTTTATACCTTCATTTTAATATACATTTTACGAAGTTGGAGTAAATGTAAGGTAAATATAACTGAAGATTGTCCTATGCGTAACGAGCGTTATGTCAATTTTATTTAGATATATCATGACTTGGAGTGACAGCAGACATATACATCTGGGGAAGATTCATTGCGATATAAAAATATTGAAAGGATACGAAAACTTGGACCTTATTTATCCCAGAGTCAGTTTTATAAATATAAATCCCGAAGAAGACAAGTTTAATTATCAATTTCTTTAAGTTAATAATTATAACATTATAGTTGTTACAAAAAAGACTCATAGACAGATAAGTTATGTATAAAAAGGGAAGTAACTAATGTTGGACTGTGGCTCTAAAACGTACAGTAACATCGCTAGTAAAATATTTTCCAGCAGCTGTTGGACCTGTCTGACTCAGTAAATTTACATAACGTAGTCATAAGCATAAATATGTAATATGATAGTGCAACAAAAATTATACACGTTGTTTGATAATTGTCGCAAACGGATTGTGCTCAGCTCATAAAAGCAATGATGTACATAACAGGCCTGTAGTAACGAAAGAAATGTGTAAGCTACCGATTGCTGGCAAGAATAGTATGACTGAAAGTATGGATCCAAAAGTAGACTGAAATATTAATAGTGAGACGTGTCTTAATAACAGTACTTTTTAAGTAAATATTCATAGATCTAACCAGGGCCGTTCCAATAATGAAATGAATTGGGTTTTACGTCCTATTTTACTTTACCTAACTGGGCTAATGAAGACGGGCAACACCATGCAGTGTGCAATGACAGCGGCATTAGCTTGCTCTTTTTAGATTCCCAACTGTCTTTAACGTGCTCAGCCTGTAGCATCGGTTTATTGTCCCATCTGAACGACTATCGTTTTTTTCCATGTCAGCATCACTTGACAGTTAAAACCGGGTTCAAAAGATCAGAAAGTATTATCTTGAGGTCTGCCGCAGGATTGTACTCGGGACCTTCAGGTTAGCAAGTAACTCACTGAGCCACTGCGCTTCCCAACAGCCCTGTAGGGGAAGATATAATAGGCAGACACATCTTTATTGCAGTAATAGGCCCTATATATGCAGATATTTGGAGACGACGTATCTTTATAACAGTATTGTATTTGCAGATACTTTATAACAGTATTGTAGATGTTGAAGACGTATATTTAACAGTATTGCAAGAGTGGATGTTAAGAGGGGCATCTTTAAATTAGTATTGTGAAGTACTATTCTTCTAAAACTAAGTGTTTTATTACGTCACCCCCGATACAAGAAAATTTAATGGAATTGCAAGAACCACGTACGTCTGAAAATTGGAATGGTGCAAATGTATGCTATCAGTGTCCACGATAAGCTTAACAAATGTAGAAAACCTCTTTACAATCCCTTAAAAGAACTACATGTACACGATTTTATTTGAAAGCAAACTTTAAACTTGATTACAGTATTGTAGAACTAGAATATTTTACTTGATTACAGTATTGTAGAACTAGAATATTTTACTTGATTACATTATTGTAGAACTAGAATATTTTACTTGATGACAGTATTGTAGAACTAGAATATTTTACTTGATTACATTATTGTAGAACTAGAATATTTTACTTGATTACAGTATTGTAGAACTAGAATATTTTATTTGATAGTAGTATTGTAGAACTAGAATATTTTACTTGATTGTAGTACTGGAATATTTTACTTGATAGTAGTATTGTAGAATTATAAGATTTTACCTGACTTCAGAATTGTAGAGCTAGAATATTTTACTTGATGAATGATAGGACTAGAAGATTTAATTGATTACAATATTGTAGAGCTAGAAGATTTTACTTGATTACAATATTGTAGAACTAGAAGATTTTACTTGATAACAATATCGTTGAACTAGAAGATTTTACTTGATAACAATATCGTAGAACTAGATGATTCTAACATGATATCAGTTTTGTAGAAGTATAGATGATTCTAACATGATATCAGTTTTGTAGAACTAGAATTATGATATTATATAGCTAAATAGTTTGATTGGGGTAAAGGTTATAACATGATATTGATATCATAGTATGGGATGGTGGAATTTTATGGTAGTGCAGAAAGTACAATAATCAAATTTCGCCTTAATTTACTACAATTTGATTTTCCAATATATACAGCATTGACAATGAGAAATTTTCTCATTAGTTATTATAATATACCAATTAACTACGTCTACACTTTCTACACAGATAATGGTCAGTATAGATCCGTTTTAGTTATGATGTCTATATATTTATTACATTTTCAAATCCTTCAATCAATGTATTAATACCATTTGTGAGGTCAAGAGGAGTCACGGTCATTTCCATTATACAGACCAATAGTAGACGAAAGAACGGGTTACAGAAAGAACACCAATAACCTCAATGCTGAAAACTTCAGTCTGAAGTCAATCTGGCGTTGTGGATAAAATAACTACCTCTGGCTGTAAAATCATTTTTGATAAGTAATCTAGTTTATGATTTGAAACACCTGTGAAGGTATGATAATGAGACAAGTTAAGTTCGATTTTGAAACACCCTGGAAATAGGGGTAATAAATACGTGGTCATAAATATGAGGTTATGGATATATAACGTTTTGCAATAAAAAGAAATGTTTCATACCCTTCTAACTTTCGACATTTTTGATAGATCTTATATAAATAGTAGGCTATTCAGACTGCCAGTTGAACTTTGTACTGATAACTATTTCAATATTCCTTCTCTTCCCATATGTTAACTTTCTAGAATAGTTTCACACACATACACCACACTTTGGAATTTTGGTCAGAGTTCAGATATCACTGTCTGTTCTTGGAATAAATTTACCCCTAATTTCATTCACTATACA